TAGCCTGTTGTGTTTAATATTGTATAAAAAAAGGATAGAATTTTGATTAAATTAAAGTATTTATTTTATTGTAATTTTATACTTTACGTAAATTAATAAAACATGATTTAAATAAATAAATAAAAAACCATTCCACTTAAAACGTAACCAAATGCCTAACTAACTGGAGTTGCTGATGCGCCTGCCAATTATATTATATAATTTTTTTTTATAATATTTAATATAATATAAATAATATTTATGCGATTCTTACTCTTATGAAAATATTTTGTAAGACATTTTTAAATTATTACATATATTCTTTATTGCACTTGTAAGTCAGTGACCCAGTAACAAGTGACCATATATAACAAGTGATTATATATATGTATATATATATATATATATATATATTTCATATAATTATTTATTTACTCTTTAATTATTAAACACTAATTAGTGCTTCTACGTAAAGCAAGAATCTAAGAATAACCTATTTTATATCAAATTTTATTTTGTAAATGGCAACGCGTGATCATGAAGAATTTTACTATTTAATTACAATTCTAGAGGTAAAGTAATTCCACCTGACAGAACATGTTGTTAATAGTGGGCACTAAATTCCCCATTATTAATAATCCCGTCCCACTCACATCAACCCGTTCAGGCTATCTTTAATTAATGAATTATTAAATTTTATCTCAAAGAAAAAACGCTCATTATTAATTTTAACTCTAATTAACTAAATTATAATTAATATTTATATAAGAAGCTTTACTTAAAGCACAAAAGCATCACTTCAATTAAAATACAACCTTTACTAATATAAAAATTGTGAAAGTGAGTTTGTTTATTACCACTTAGCTCTTCAATCGTTTTAACAATTTTTAGGAAATTTGATGCATGTATACAAATCGAGATGGAAAGAGACATTTATATTGTATTTTTTTTTCAGTATAATATTTTGCTTTAATTGTTTATATTTATAATAAGTTTACTATTGTAATCTTATGGAGGGAACAATAAAGAGTATCTATCTATCTATCTATCTATTCTATAGGCTACTTTTTACATCAATAAATTAATATATTCTAGTCACGCAGATAAAGTCGCAAGCAAATACTTGTCCTAGTTATAATAAAGAGAAAAAAGATTAAGTTCCTATACGAACACAGCGCGTCCAGTTTTTCTATACATGTTATTGTTTTTAGTTAAAAAACTTAAAATTTTAACCATGTGTTCATGTGGTCCTGACATAGAATAGGCCACCCATTCCTTTCCCGTGGGTGTCGTAAGAGGCGACTAAGGCAGGGCGAGGGATGGACAGCAGCGTCCCTCTTAAAATATCTTTAAAGCTTAACTGCGGTTTCCAATCCGCCTACCAAACGTGGCAATTACTGGCAATTACAATTACCCCTTAGAGGTAGGCTTATGTTCAGCAGTGGACAGTTAAGGGCTGGTATAATGATAATTATGTCTATACATAGAAGATATTTTAAAAAGTTGTCATAAGGTGTCTTAACGTAAGCAACAAGCGCAAAAAAATATTGAATTTTTGTATGTCCGTATGTATGTTATGGAATCACGCAAAAACTACTATACCATATTGAGTGCGGTCTTTACAGTTGTAGTTCTGAAAAACTTAAAATCTGGTTTATGTTTTATTCTGATACACCATCTATATGATTACCTGGGGGGGGGGAAGGGATTGTTAGTAATGGGCACTAACCGCCCCATTGCTAGCAATATACCCTATCATTATTATTTAAGTTAATTCTAGTACAATTCATTACGATGGGCCAACTGACTTGCTTTCATCGTCACCTATCATCTCTCGCTGGTGCCCCGCCAGTGTACACCGTTAGCGCAGGCGGGGTTACCATTCTATTATCACCCATATAAATAAAAATATATATGATAATCTATTTCAAAAATCCTAGTAGCTAAGTAAAGCTAAGTTTCAGCATTCAGTTAAGTTAAATGACATGAATGACAATGGAAAATCGGTATATTCCTTCAATTAAATCTAAAAAAAACATGTTTCAATACAATTATTTCATTCATTTAGATAAGATATAAGAATAGACGTTACAAAATCCCACTAATAATAAGTATGAATATATATATATATATATATATATATAGATATATATATATATATAAGTATATATAACTTAACTAAGTGAGCTTTACAGAGTTTCCCAATACTCTCATTCAGAAAACATCAGTACAGTAACTTAACAGTAACAGTATAATTAAATGTAAAAATATTAATTACATTTAAATCACATAATAATAATAATAATATCATAAAACTCAGAACACAAACACTTTGTGGTCATCTGACGAAACTCCAGCATATATTCTTTATTGCACTAAAACATACAGTAATAATAACAAATTAGTAACAGAGTAAGCAAAGGTGAACTTATCTCTAAGCGATTTCTTCCAGTCAACCTAACACAATGGTATAGGATATGTAGTAACAATAAGTAGGCAATAAGCAATTTGATACGTTCGCATTGAATGGCGTTTGATTGACAGCCAAATATACAGAATACTTATTAACGTAACCCATTCTTTAAGACTAATATAATCATTAGTATGATCTTAAAAGGATCTTTTGTTTAAAAAGAAATAAAAAAAGATTATTTACCAAAATTCTCGAAAGAAGAACATTACATACATATATTAACGGAAATATATAGTAATAGTTATGTACATATCTTGTATTGTGTAGTCTGTGACTTAAAATAATCTTTAATGCATTTCTAATTTTATTATGGAACATAAAATGGCAAACAAGCTGACGGACCACCTGATGGAAAGTAGTAACCGTCGCCTATAGACATTAGCAGTACTATGGACATAACAGAGTATACTGTTTCGCCCATGATACCCCCATGCCTTGCCATTCTTGAGGATTCAAGTGTTATTCCTCTGTACCCAGTAAATTCACGCCATATCCCACCCTTTAAACCGAAACACAGCCATGCAAACACAGCTGCTTCACGGTTGAAACACGAATGGGACAGAGGTACTCAAGCAATCGACTTTTGTACAAAGTCTCCCTCTGGACTTTTTCCTTAGACTTTTCGGTATTAAAACTTATTTATTTATTTATTTAAAGGAACACCAACAGCATATTGCATTATAACATATATAACAAACATTAAATGCAATGCAATATTAATGCACATGCCTATTAAAGGTATTCAATTCGGAGATAAGGAGTCGGTTTTTTTCTTACATTTTTGGCTATAACTAAAAAAACTACACATTATTAATATAAATCAATTTTAAAATGTACAAATGAAGCCCTTTTATACGATATCTCATTTGAACTAGTAGGTCAATTTTAAAATTTTGAGTATCTGTTTATATAAACTGGCATAGTGTGGGCGCAGGTTAGATGCAATCTTGCATTGGACCTGCGACCCACACAAATACATTTCATAATCACCTACCATCTCGTAGCTATGGAGTCTGTATATTTATTTATGTACAATACCCTCGGCTTGTAAGTCGCCTACTCGTAAGTAATTGTTTTTTTTTTTTATATTATCATTTGACCATTAACTGTCCACTGCTAAACGTAAGCCTTCCCCGCAAGAGAAGTTTTGCCAGACGAACGCTGCTTTACATTCCTTGATCATTCAGTTCCCATAGTCGCTTCTTACGATACCCACGGGAAAGGAAGGAATGGTCTATTCTATGCCGGAACCACACAGCGGTTTACTTATATACTTATATATCTTTGTATTTTTATATTATTATTTTTATATAAATGTTTTCTACACCTTTTTTTGTTAGTTCGTATAACAATTTCAAATGGCATACTATGTCATTATTCCTTCAATCACGAACAGTTTTCTGTTTAACCAAACAAAAAAAAAATACAATTGAATTGAGACTATCCTCCTTTTGTGAAGGCGGTTAAACATATAGACGAATCAAGAACCTTCTTTTAGAGACTGCTCGAAAAAAATCATTTATAATTTCTTAGCACTCTCCCCTTTGCATTTATATTTGATGGCGTTTTCGTTGCGGTGTAAGTATTTCTTAGAAATAATTATGCCTTAAGTCCTGAATTATATATAAGGGCCTCTGAAATTGACTGTGTAAAAAAAATTTAACGGTATCCTTCTCAAAGGTGTAGCTTACATCAAGCATTCTCTTTTATCAAACATTTATTTAATATAATATTTCACGCCTCTGGACGCAAGACCTTGAGCCTGATATCATTAAGAGTTCACTAGGAGTTCTTCATAAAGACGTCAAGCTACTAATCTCAAGACAATCGCTTACCAAATTCCATGATTCTAGGTCAACGGGAAGACCCTATAGGTTTTGATTCCCTTTGCGTATGTCAAAATATGCAATATAAATAGACTTTTGATTGCGTCGATTTAGAAGCATGATTTTTTCACTGCTTTAAGAGATTGCAGACCTAAGTATATGATACTAATTTCAACTTGATACCTTCACGCGATAAGAAAAAGGGTCTTGATAGACAGATGGACGGATAGACGAATGGATGGATAACAAAGTGAGCCTATAAGGGTTCCGTTTTTCTCTTTTGGAGGTACGGAACCCTAAAAATGACGATTTCAAAGAGCTTATAAGCATGTTTATTTAAATAAAGTTTATTTAAATAAAGGTTATTTATATTATTTCTATACTATTTATTATAAAATGGTGAGAACTTAGTGAAAGATGCTTCACTGGTATCCCGCCAATATATATCTATAGTACAGGCAGAGTTAAAATTTCATTATAATTTAAATATACAGTTTCCAATTTAATCAGGTACTGATTGATTGAATGATTAATCATTAGTCATTGATACTCAGTGAACCAAAAGTATAATTGTTAATCTACGCTTACCTGTGTTAAAGACCTTGACCGATGTGAATTCTCGCTATGGGAAATGAAACCTTATCGCTGCTGTAGTAAAATATAAATTTGTTTGGATAAGCTACAATAATTTATGACAAATAGTATAGATCAGTCAGTTGTGGGTTTGTCAAATCAGTCGACTCTCAAATGTCTTATAAACATCACTAAATATATTTTTGTTTTTTTTTTTTAATTTGTGAGTGTGTATATATATTTTTTTTATTTATCAATAGAGGTTTGTATAATCTGTATATCTGTAGTGTTTAATTTTTTTAAATTAATTTATATGTGCCATTTTAAAATACTAATCTAACGTAAGTAAATAATTTTAATAATACAAATACATTTAAACAAGCTTTTATAACACAAAAATTAAAAACGCAACTAAAACACAAAAAAAGTTAAAATACATTTGAAAATGGAACCATAATCTCACCATTTTTTTTTATTTTATACGTTCAAATTTTTAAATTACATTATATTATAGAATAGTTAGAATCAAACTTAGATTTAGAAGTTATGGTGGAATAAATAAACTTACATGCATTGTTGAACCTTTAAAAAAATTTTACACTCTTTTTTGAGCAGTCGTGTAAAATTAATATATATGTATATATATATATATATATATATATATATATATATATATATATATATATATATATATATATATATATATATATATAATAAAAGTGTAATAGAATACAAATAAAATATACAAGAAATATATCATACAGTGAAAATACAATAATTATATGTCATTCACTAAACTATTGAAATAATATTTCAATAAAGACTATATTTCAATAAAGATTATAGTCCTATATAATATTATATCTATTAAAATAGTTAATTATTATTCGTGTCGATGGCCAAAGGATCAGACATTATTAGTTCAAAGTTTCACCATGTCAATAGCACTAACATTGACCTCAAAGAAAATCTTTTAGGACATACTGCATAGTTTTCAAAAGTTCAACTGGTTAATCTAATCACGATGGTTAGAAATGGCTAGAAATAAATAATAATGCTTGGGGCGAAAGGGATTGTTAGTAATGGAGACTGAGAATCCCATTGCTAGCAATATACCCAACCAGATCGATCTCCTCGCGGTTCTCCCTGGAAACTATCATGGTTAATTCCTGATGAATTCATCATGATGGGCTAACTGGCCTGTTTTCATTCTCATCTATCACCCTTCACAGGTGCTCCGCCAGCGTATCCCGTTAGCGTTAGCAGGCGGGGTTACCATACCATTTTCACCTATAATAATATATATATATATATATATATATATATATATATATATATATATATATATATATATATATATATATATATATATATATATATATATATATATATATATATATAATGCTTGTAACGATAGACGAAGAAATGGACGAATAAGTGGATGGACCGATGTTTGTTACTCTCTCATGCAAAAACTGCTGAACGGATTTGAATAAAACTTAGTATATAAATAGGTGTATTCTGACTTAGCATATATGCTACTTTTTGTACTGATTCTCGTGAGCAAAGCCACAGAATACAGCTAATAGAATAAATGCGAAAGTTTGTAATGGTAAATGGATGAATGGATTTTTTTATACAACTTAGAATGGCAAACAAGCTGACGGCCCACCTGATGGAAAGTGGTAACCGTCGCTTATAGACGTGAGCAGTACCACGGACATAACAGAGTATACTGTTTTGTCCATGATACCCCCCATGCGTTGCCATTCCTGAGGACTCAGGTGTTATTCCTTTGTACCCAGTAAATTCACGCCATATCCCACCCTTCAAACCGAAACACAGCCATGCAAACACAACTGCTTCACGGTAGAAACACGAATGGGAGATGCCCAAGCAAACGACGTTTGTATAGTCTCCCTCATTCCTCTGGATGGATGTATATTACTCTTTCCCGCAAACTACTCAAGGTATTTGAATGAAATTTTGTACACGGGTTGACTATATCCTAACTCAGCACATTGGATAGATTATGTACTGATTCACGCGACCAGAATCGCAGGGTACAGCTAGTAAAAAGCAATAAGATTAGAATAATTTAGGAACTAGTTTTAAAATTCCCCCAAAGTTCGCATCCCAATTTTTTATGGATTAAGATGGAATAGTTGGAATGGCTAATGATATATAATGATGAAGTATCATTGGAGGATCAAACTATGAAAATAAAGGCAGATTAGTTAGCTCATTGTGGCAAATTTACTACAAATCAAGTTTTTAAAAGGGGACCGCTTGGAGCTCGACTTGGTGGGCTATATTGCTAACATTCCCATTACCAGAGGGGGGCTTTGTACAAAAGTCGTTTGCTTGGGTACCTTTGTCCCATTCGAGTTTCAACCGTAAAACCGAAACAGAGCCATGCAAACACAACTGTATTTGCATGGCTATGTTTCGGTTTGAAGGGTGGGATATGGCGTGAATTTACTGAGTACAGAGGAATAACATTTGAGTCCTCATGAATGGCAACGCATGGGGGGTATCATGGGCGAAACAGTATACTCTGTTATGTCTATGGTACTGCTCATGTCTATAGGCGACGGTAACCGCTTTCTATAAGGTAGGTCATCAGCTTGTTTGCCATTCTAAGTTCTATAAAAAAATACTAACAATCCTTCTCCCCTGGTCTATGGTATTCTCAGTTCTTTAATAAATAATTTATTGCTTGCAATGTCTTCCTCTATTTCGCAACTATCTATTTACCGACTTGCATTTATTGCGACCTCTACTGATGACCTTTACGAGGTTATTGCTTTACATAGCCACGGTTGCCTTGCATTGCACTTGGTTGTAGATAATACAGTATATAACTAGGCTATCGAAGAACCCTTTTTCCCTATCAGTTACTGTTTGTTTCACTCGGCAATATACATTGATACTTCGAAAGAATTATTTAAAAAAGGAATAAAATTACTCTTTCTAAATTAAATTTATTTGAAATGTTTATCAGATTTAAAATTAATATTTATTAATTTTCAAATTTAATTTAAAGTTATTTATTTAATTTTAATTTAATATTTTAAATGAAATAAATATAATTACGATTTAAAATTGAAATTTATGAATGATTAACGTTCTAATTAAGATATTTATTACATACTAACATAAGTGGGTGACATACAAGCAGCCCACCTGAGTAAACGGTTATAATTGAAAGGTAATATGTCTTTTGTAAATATAGGCAGGTAACAGCACAAATAGATATATCAATTTTATGAGTGTTCATTCCGATACTTGTCAGATAACAACGTCTTTTTGAATGTTATACAAATTGACGGTTTTTCTCATGAAAAGTGATAGCTGTCGTCTATAGGCTTGAACAATATGATGACTATCACATATTGTACTGTAATACTCTAGAGAAAAATTTATAAAAATTAACAGCTTAATGTTGGAAATTGAATGGTGAAAATGGAATGGTAACCCCGCCTGCGCTAACGGGATACGCTGGCGGAGCACCAGTGAAGGGTGATAGATGAGAATGAAAACAGGCCAGTTAGCCCATCATGATGAATTCATCAGAAATTAACCATGATAGTTTCCAGGGGGGACCGCGAGGAGGTCGACCTGGTTGGGTATATTGCTAGCATAAGTTAGGATATATCCTACCCGTGTTCTAAATTATATTCAAAACCCTTTAGTAATTGCGTGAAAGAGTAACAGATATTGTCCATCTATTAATCATTACAAACTTTCGCATTTATTGTATTAAAAGGATCCAGGTAGATAGATAGATAGATAGATGATTTATTTACATTACTTACAGCACATAAATTACAATAAAAAAAAACATACACGTAATACATACCAAAAGAGACAAAAGAAAAAAATAAAAAATGCACAAATAAAAAAAAATACAAAAACAAAATATATAATCTAACAATCTCCTTTCTTACCATTCCTTCATGCGTGTGCCATAGTAACATAAAATGGTCAGTTTATTGCTTTGCCCTTAAAAGAGCAAAACTCTGATATTCTGCTGTGGCCAAGAGTCAGTCGCGAAATTTTGCGAAACTGCATTGTATGTGTCCATTATATTTGCCTTCACTTGATATTTATTTATTTATGTAGAATATAATAACAGATACCATTAGATGAGGGGTAGTCAGAGATCACTTTCTGTCGCATTCAGATATTCAGGCAATAAATATTTCGGCTACGTACCTATTAGGCATGCCAATATTTTGTTTATTAATTAAAAAGATTTTAAGTTTAATACAGATTTCAAGTATGAACACTCTTAGAGGTAGTGTTAAGCCATGTTTATTTAAGGAGATTGTTACTTAGTGGAAACAATAAATGCTACTATTAGATACTGTATAGATAAGATTACTAAAGTGGGTGTAATATCTAAGAGCATTCTAAATGGAACACAAACAAAAAAAAAAAACAAGAGAATTAAGGCATAAGATCTCATGAATAGGTTTAATTAATTCTGAAATTTATTATTATAAATTAAAAGTGGCTGAGACCTCTCTATACAAACGTACATTCTTATTTTTCTTTTAATTCGGTAATGTCTAGATATAAAGTCAAATGTTAAGGTCGATTAGAGTTGTACTTTATTCTATATATTTTTTTTTTATTTAATTTAACAGTACTCTAATTATTACACAAACTAAATAAATAAATACAAAGCGCAAATCAAATATATTACCATGTGAATAGATTTAATTAATTCTCAAATTACTTTTAAATTAAAAAGTGTTCGCCCCGTGTTCGAAATTCGATCATAACCTTTATTGTAATTTTTATTATATTGTAAAATTTATTATGATTATATTTGACATTCAGTAAGACTATATTCCGAAATCTTTGCTATAGACAAATAATATTAATCTATTCTCAAGTTGACCACAGACTTTAACAATAAATAAAAGAGTATATGCCAATGCGTGTGTGTGTCAAATACGTGGAAGTGTGTGTATTTTTTTTATTAGTCTAATGTATTTTTTTATGGATATTTAAAAAAAAAAACATTAGCATTCTGCACTCCTTCTCTATATTAACGATAATAGTGCCAAATTTCATATTCCTGTGTAAAAAGTTTTTGCTTCACATATTACTGAATTTTTTATATCAATGTTCTTAGACTAATAGAAATATTTTTCTATTGTTAGTTGTATTAATGTTACAGAAGAAAAAAATATAATTTTCTCTTTGTGATTTTTTACTTGTAATTTTTGTATACTAAGATTTTTATATAATCTTTTGAATCTGTGATTGGTGAACAATAAAAATTATGCAAATCTTAAAAATCGTATACTTAGACAAAGAAAAATATATATCTACTCAAACATTGTCTGGAAGAGATTGCTTAGCGATAAGGCCGCCTTCTGTATCATTTCTCATTAAATTAACTATATTTATTATTTTATAAATAGTGCAATTAAGTTTAATATAAATAAATCAATATACCAAATGGATGTATATATATATATATATATATATATATATATATATATATATATATATATATATATATATATATATATATATAAAGGTCGGTCGGCCAATTCCTAACAACAGAATGAAATAACGAAGAGTATCTACGAAGATAATCCAATATTTGTTTTTAATTCCAGATAATTTGAAAAATGGAAAAGGACGACAATATAACGAAGGAAGGACGAGATAATTTCAATTCCACGTAAGTCGAGTTATATTTTCTTCCTTATTTACTAAAGTAATAAAATTTAAACTAGACAATGTCTGTACATGGGAGATATTAAAATAAAATACAGAAGGAGTCTTAACAATTTAATATATTAGACAATAAATGCTAAAATATTATTTTTTACGAATTTCATCTCTCTGTCTGTTTGTTCCAGCATCACGCAAAAACTGCTACATTAAATTAGATGCAGTTTTTAGTTTTTTATAGTTGTATTCCTGCAGATCTATCTTAAAATCTGGTGTATTTTTTATATTAATACACCATCTAGAAGTAGTTTATTTCATTGTTTATCCTACTTCTGAAGTTCACGCCTACGAACTAACAGACAAAGTTAGTATTTTATAAATATAACTTGAAAATTTTCTGTTGCTTACTTGATAAGTTGTCACTTGTCAACTTAGAAACGTAAAATATGTTTTCTCTAATATAATACTTCGAGCGAACGACTTTAAATTTCAGTGGTATTAAAAAGATTTATTTTTAAATTTTATTTTTATGCCACTTAGAATGTCAAACAAGCTGATGGCCCACCTGATGGAAAGTGGTAACCGTCGCCTATAGACATAAGCAGTACCATAGACATAACTGAGCGTACTGTTTCGCCCGTGATACCCCCCATGCGTTGCCATTCCTGAGGACTCAGATGTTATTCCTCTGTACCCTGTAAATTCACTGCCATATGCCCACCCTTCAAACCAAAACATGCAAATACAACTGCTTCATAGTAGAAACACGAATGGGACAGAGGTGCCCAGGCAAACGACTTTTGTACAAAGGCTCCCTCTGGTAAATTAATTAAATAGATAGATTCACCACTCACTTTTATTGAAACGATCTGAAATGACTAATTAGCGTCCATAGGTGCTGCTTTCTATCTAGAGGTATTGAACATTTACCTATGTACGGTTCAGTATAAAAAAATATTGCTTCGTTTCATGGTGTTTGATTTAGACAAATAATATCTTCGATATTACAGGTGAATGTTATAGAAATTGACGGTATTGTGAGAATACCTATATATTTTATGGCGTTATTGTGAACGTCGCCTTGATTGATAGTTACTTTGGTTACTTACTACACGAACAATACATATTTGTTGAATTGAATATCAAACAAATTGTTATATTACTGAGGAGATTGATCGGATTGATACCTGCTGCTGATTTTCACCACCGTACAACCCGCCACAAACTAAAGTTTCATCCCAATCATCTGGACGAGTGGCGGTCTTCCACCGTGCGTATTTCAAGGCACTTTTCCATGCACAACCATTTTTTGGAATTAACTTCCAGCAGCAGTATTTCCGAACCGATACGACAACATAACCTTTAAGAAAAGAGTATATTCCTTTTTAAAAGGCCGGCAGCACACCTGTAATGCCGCTGGTGTTGTAGATGATCATGGGCAGCGCTAGTCACTTACCATCAGGTGCGCCGCACGCTCCATTGCCCCCTGTGCTGTAAAAAATAAATTTATTGACAAATTAACCCCACATTTATAAAAAAAAATATAATAAAATTCTCAGTGAATAATTTAAAATAATTCTATTATATTCTGTTTTATAATAAAATATATTATAAATAGTAATTTTTATAATATAATTATATTTTTTTTATTCAATTAATATTAAATTTGTTTTTATTGATACTCGCGTAATAACATTTTATTATAATTATTTTTATCATACTATTCCATGTCAGCCGTTAATCGTCTACTGCTAAATATAGGCCCCTATTTGGGTGTTGCCAGTTATTGCTGCGCTTTGCAGGCAGGTTGGTAGGTGATGTTTTAAGAGGGACGCTGCTGCCTATTCTCTTTCCTATTCTCTCAAATATTAAGAGCACTCTGTGACTTCTTCTTATTTCCAAAAATAAAAAATCAGCTCAAAGGGATACAATTTTTGTCGCCGGATGATGCGCTCTCAGCGTTCGAGCAGGCTGTAAACGAGGTGTCTGCGGCGGACTGGAAAAAGTGTTTCGAAGACTGGTTCAGATGCATGAAACTTTGTATAGAGACTGGTGGAGAGTACTTTAAAAAGATTTAATAAAAATATATTTACCTATAGAACATTTTTTTAGTGTCGCAAAACTTTCTGAGTGTCCCACGTATATTCGATATACATACTCTATTTAATATATTTATACTTAGTCTCACTATCTTTATGAAAATATTTTTATTATTTAAATAATAGAATAATTTAATGATTATTTAATCGCAAAGAATCCTTATTGTATATTTTAATAAATATACTATTTGGAAATTTAAATCTGCAATATATGAATACTTATAAGTATTCATAGGTACTCGTATTTACTAGTATATTTGAATAAATATTTACCATAACCGTACCGTGAAGGAGTTCAATGCAAATATCGGGACCAAAAAGAATTGATTACAGCTGTCAATCTCGCATATTGTTATAGAAATGTACATATGTTACACTCCCATACTCTGTTTACAATTAGGATCCCATATCAGTCACATAATAAGACCATAGTGTAAAAAACAATGTGTATTTTTTTTATTTTATGCATTGTAATATTTGAAACATTCTTGTTTTTAAATTATTAAATTTAACGTTTTATTTCGCTAGTAGAGCACTTTTTTATACTACTGAGGTGGTAAACAAGCATATGGTCCACCTGATGGTAAGCGGTTATCGTAACCTATAAACGCCTGCAACACCAAGGGTGTTACGTGCGCGTTGCTGACCCTGAAGAAACTTTAGTATATCCTTTTTGAAGAGCCCCATACTGTAGTATTTAGGGAAAACCTCGGCAGGGAGCTCATTCCACAGCCTGAGCGTTCGTGGGAGAAAATTTCTCTGAAACTGCACTATACGTGATCATTTCGGTTAAAGCGTGTGAGGATGAATTCTCTGTCGATGGTAAGCGGTGCGATGATAAAAGGTGGCTGTCTATATCCCTATGTAATTTAAATTACACTAATATAATAAAATCTTTTTCTCAAACATACTTGGAAATGTGAGCATTATTTTGACAATCTTCTTCGAGATAAATCAATTGCCGTACTGGTCAGATACATGCGGGCCGCGGTCGGCAAAAGATGTATGAAAATCCATATCTGTCGTGTTTTGCGGCCAGATAAATTACTATGTAGACTCATATCTGTCCTGTAATTTAAAAATGGAATGACCTTTTACCTCGAAATATGGCTACCAAGGAGGTAACTAATAAAAGGTTTTATTTAAATTTCGAACTGGCTTGCATATAGAAAGCTGTTTATTGAAAAAAAAACAAAGGAACATTATGGCGCGTGAAAAATTATTATTGTTCGTTATTCGTCATTGAACTTAAAAAGTAAAATTGTGTTTTTGATTTTCGCGTATTGTTTGAGAAATGTACTATACGAGCCTTGGCCACAACTAGGCATTGATGGACTCACGTATGTGTACGTTCGTCCATCAATGCCTCAGTTGCTGGCCGCTGCAGTAATGTACTATAAAATTAATGTAAAATACAAATTTATCTGTCTACCTACCCGTGCGAAGCGGGGACGAAGAGCTAGTTATTGATAAATTTTTTTTAAGTTTTTCGAATACAGCGAGGTCTCGACAGCTGTATCAGACGCGTCGTTGCCGTTTTTATTAGTTATAAATTTCTATAGAACAAAGAGGTAATGAGCCATGAACGACAATGGAAAATCGGTACGTTGCTTCAATTAAATCTAAAAAACATGTTCCAATACAAATATTTTGTTCATTTAGATAAAATACAAGGACAGACGTTACGAAATTATACTAAAAATAAATATGAAAGTGCATAAATTTGTCTTGTTATTTGTATTTATATAATATACGTATAATTTAGTCAGGTTCAAACTATTCGAATTGTTGCAATTAACTATTTGTTTTTAATAAATATCAGATTTATTTTTTTATAGGTAAATGTTTTTTTTAAATCGTTATTATTAGCAAAAAATTCCAATTTGAATTTGTAAATTAAACTATAACGGTAATCCTAGACCACATATTTTGAACGATTCAAGTGTAATTGGTAACAATTTCATATTAATTAACAATGTAAAACTAAATTATTTATATTAGTGATATTTAGAAGGGAAAACAAGTTAACCCACTTGTTGAAAAGTGGTAACTATCGCCTATAAACATGGACAATACAGAATATACTATGCTGCCCATGGTGCTCCTCTCTCTCTCTCTCTCTATATATATATATATATATATATATATATATATATATATATATATATACGAACAGTGGGATATGTCCATGGTACTGTTCAAGTCTATAGGCGACGGTTACCACTTTCCATCAAGTGAGCTGTAAGCTAGTTTGCCATTCTAAGTTGTATAAAAAATAACATTGGAATTTTTATTCTTAGGACCAATATGAACATAAATTTCTAAAAGATTGAAGTCAATTGTTTGTTTTTATTATAGTACGTCATATGTCACGTCATGACTTTACTATCCTAAATGAATACGGAGACAATATGGTCCATGAATACGATCAACGGAATAGAGAATTATTTACTCTCAACGGGTGACCGCACACTACCGGCTCGCTAAGTGCTTTATAATGCTACGTTTGTATTTTTGTAAATTTTCTATCAGGTGAGTGGTCAGCTTGTTATTCAAGTTGCATAAAAAAAAATTAAAGAGAGTTTAACATACGCGTACCTTTTTAAATAGACCACTTTTTATCCCAATTAATAAATAAAACTAAACAATAAATAAACAGATAAATAAATAAATTAAATAAATAAATAAACAGCCACGCGGATAATGTCGCGGGTAAAGACTAGTGATTTATTATGTTTTAGACTTTTTCCATTTTATGTTTTATATCGAATTTTACTTGTGTTTTATACATTGGTGAAATGTTTTAAAAGGAACCAAATATTATATCTGATATTGGTTATATCCTTTTATGAATATACATCTAATTAAATTAACAATTAATATTAATTCTTAAATGTTACAATACATTTTGCCATTTGAAGTGTAACTTTGAAAAAATTAAATCGTTTGCCATTTAAAATGAAACACAAATTTCACGATTTCTTTTTTAAATAAAGCACTTAAAGTGATTAATTTAATTTAAATTTCTAGTACGGTATAATTAGCTTAGTACCATATTTAAAAAAAATAAAGACTCATTCAAATTAGCCTAATTATATAAAGTAAAATATGTTTTGACATAAATAAATGGCATGGAATATAAATGTATTTTTTAAAGATATTTCTCAAATAAGGAGGAAAGAGTATGGAAGAATAGAAATTACTTAAATATATGGATTTCTGTTATTTTCTTAAAAAAATGTCTATTCGTTCCTCAGACAAATTAAAAATAAAAATGAACTAATTAAAATAAAAAATGAGCTCCCTGCCGAGGTTTTCCCAAGAGACTACAGCATGGGGTTCTTCAAAAGGGGGGTAAAGAGGTTCCTTCGGGGTCGGCAACGTGCGCGTAATACCTCTGGTATTGCAGGCGTTCATAGGCTACGATAACCGCTTACCATCAGGTGGGCCGTATGCTTGTTTGCCACCTCAGTGGTATAAAAAAAAATTTGTTATTTTACAATTTTTTCAAAAATTTATATAATTACTTTAGCATGTTATACACATGATTATTATTACATTCAAACATTATATTTGTTGTATGTAATTTTCATTTTTTATTTAACATTACTCAGTTCCATGTTGTAAATTAAAATACGTAAAACTTAACTGAAAATCATTTTTTGTCAATATAACAATTATGAAATAAATGTTATTTTATTTTAAACACTATACAATGACGGGGCCAAAATTAATAACCCTTTTTTTTTCATTAATTTGTAAAATATTAAAGAGTGTTGTGCAATGCAATATACGTATGACTATTAGAATTGTATGTATGAATAAATAAATGAAAACTCTTTGTTGTTAAAGATTAATAGCATGCACACAAACAGAGGGATTACGCACACAAACAGAGGGAATATTTAATTATATAAACTTAATGACATAGAAATAAATGGTATATATATTACTAATCGTTCAAATTTTATTTCCAGGGCTGAATTAACAAGTAATCCCGGGTTCCAATCATCACTGAGTATAACATCGAAAACCGATGAAAAACTATATAATCCTTTTGAACATCGCAATCTGGAGCATCCTAATACGTAAGTATTGCTAATGTCTTAATGTACTCGTGCGTGCGTGCGGTATGGTAATCGAAGTTTTCAGCATCTTCTAACTGTGTATTCTACCAACAGAACTAAATATTTTTGGCTCAAATTCTTTTTTAATTTGTACATTTATACGTTTATTTATTTATATTTTCAGGAAAGTATTTATAGAATATATTTTTTTAATTTGTAAACCTACGTTTATTTATTTATATTTCTGGGAAAGTATTTTTAGAATATATTTTTTTAATTTATAAACCTACGTTTATTTATTTATATTTTTTGGGAAAGTATTTTTATAATATATTTTTTTAATTTGTAAACCTACGTTAATTTATTTATATTTCTGGGAAAGTATTTTTATAATATATTTTTTAATTTGTACACCTACGTCTATTTATTTGGCTTTCAAGAAAAGTACTTTTTTCTCATATTCTTTTTTAGTTTGTAAACTTACGTTTATTTTTTTAACTTTCTGGCAAAGTATTTTTTGTTCATATATTTTTTTTTATTTGTAAACCTACGATTTTTTTTCTGGGAAAATGTTCTATTTCACTGGTAGAATAATATAATATTTAGTATAATGCTTATGATATTGATTTCTCCCTGTAGTAGTACCAGCAAAACGTACCAGACGTTGTTGTGCATTAATCGATTTGGTAAAAAAGGAGGTTCTTAATTTACTGAATTAATTTCTTAATTTTTTTTTTAATATATTTATTATCTTAGAACTTTGTCATTTATAAACCGCTTTGTAATAATCTTTGTTTGAAAGGATATACTTACAGATTGATCCTGATGGAAATATCATTAATATCACGGTTCAGTTATTTGGTTAACTTGTTTCCTCAACATTTTGTTTATTTTCCTTTCAAGTGTATCTTTTTTTTACTTCCTGTGGTGTATATTCAAATAAATTCCGAATAAAATATTCTTATTTTCAGTTACCGATGAAATTTTTACTCCTTGATCATACCCAACCCTCCCCTCCACCCCATCCCCAACGGCTAATAAAATAACAACTTTGAAATCTCTTTTTAAAAATTGACAAAGTAAATTTTAGGCATTCTAATTTAAACGCGTTTTATTAAAGTATTTGAAAACGAACCTTATTCTGCAGTTAAATCTGTAATTTTATGTTATTTTACCCTCTTCTGCAATCGTAAAAGGGTTAATCCTTTTTTTTTATTTTACATAATACCCTAATTTAAAACTGAGAATTAGAGTCGTAAATCTTGAACTTCTGCTACCGTAAAGAGAAAGGTTTTTATGTAATTATTTTTCATTAGGTACTTGGTTTTATTTGCATAAATTGGGGTATGTGTTTTACGTTTTGACTTATGGTACGATACGTTTGTGCTGGAAATTATAAAATCCTTAATCCCTATGTAAAAATTATTACAATAATAAGTGTCACGAATTTAATAAAAAAATTAAGTAGTTTACAGTACCTACAGCACATGTGTGGAATAAATATATATATATATATATATATATATATATATATATATATATATAGACCTCCATTAAAGTATGTTTCGCCAGTAGTTGCTACACTAAGCAAGCGGGCTGGTTGAGAACCGTAATTAGGCTTTGGTGGTATTTTAAGAGGGACGCTGCTGCCCATCTCTCGAACTAGATATCATATTTTTACAAAACTTCATGATTTCAGTTTATTCAGCTATATATAGTCATGTAGTCAAGCCAAAAAAATTATGTAGAACTGTAGCCGTCTACTTTAAGCAAATAAAATGTTATACAATTGTATTGTATTGTGAAATCTTTTTTTACGTAATTTATATTAGACACATTAAAATATTTATTATACAATGGCGGACTTATTCCATAAAGGGATCTCTTACAGTCAACCTTTGAGAAACTGAAAGAAAACTATAAAATGTGCAAGGGTAAAAACCGTAAAGGAGGACGAGAGATTGAACTCCTTAAAAAACATCTGTAAAGCCTAACTGGCTAACTAATAAAATATATACAGCGAGAAAGTCTATACAAGTTAATAAAATTAATTAAGGCTACTCTTTTTTTATCCAACTTAGAATGGCAATCAAGCTGACGGTCTACCTGATGGAAAGTGGTAACCGTCACCTATAGACATGAGCAGTATCATGGAAATAACAGAATATGCTGTTTCGCCCATGATACCCGCCATGCGTTGCCATTCCTGAGAACTCAGGAGTTATTATTCCTCTGTACCCTGTAAATTCACTGACATATCCCATACTTAAACCAAAACACAGCCATGCAAACACAACTGCTATACGGTCGAAACACGAATAGGACAGAGGTTTGGGTATCTCTATATTGGGCAAGTGACTTTTGTAAACATTTTTTTTTTTTACTTTTTAGGACAAATAAAATTCACTTATAGATTACTAATAAATAGAATATAAAAATATATAATATTCTGTATTGAAATATAAATATTTATATTATTGAATTTAAACCGCAAAATAGCGTACAAAATAGGGTTCAATTCGCAGCAAACCGGTTTCGCAAAGATTATTTTGCTTTCTTTAATTGTAAGAAAATTAATGGGATCGCGACAGGAGAAGCCATGCGAAACTTTAAAATAACTATTTTACTAATTTTATTTCATGTATATATAATTTCTGCTTAGTAAAATAAAACCTTCCCAATAAGATTAGAGAGAGTAGAAAAATTGTTAGAATGGAGAACTCTGACTTAACCTAAGGTCGAAAACTTTGCGTTGTTACCTACCTCTCTTAACTTGACGTTACGAGAGATCAACTAAAAGCTCGACAGCCTGCGGCTGTAACTTATAACTTTAACGTTGATGGTATTCTCACATGTTTATGTATTATGTTTCGCAATTTACACTAGAGCAATTATTAGACCTCCTTGGGGAAAGGGATTGTTGTTAATTAGGGTCTAAAAGCCCCATTGCCAGCAATATACCCTGTCAGTTCGACGTTCACGCGATTGCTTCTGTAACCATCTTGATATTTTTTGGAATCTCGCTAAATACAGTGATCTTTATAATCTTAACACTAGATACAAATTCTAACTTACTGTTCCGAAGTATCGTTTAGAAAAAAATAATAAAACTTTTATGGGAATGGACATTAAATAATAAAACACCGAAGAATATTTTAGATCTACCTTTTAATCAGTACAAAACTGTTTTTTTTTATGGATGATAATGGAATGGCAACCCCGCCCGCGCTATCGGTATACACTGGGGGGCACCAATGAGGGATGATTGGTGAGGATGAAAAGGCAGGTCAGTTAGCCTATCATGACGAATTTAAAGATAAATTAGTCAAGATAGTTTCCAGGGGGAACCGCGTGGAGGTTAACCTGATAAGGTATATTAATAGTGATGGGGACTAACCTCCCCATTACTAACAATCCCTTCTCCCTAGTACAAAACGGTTAGTGTTTTGGATATCAGCTGCACTTCTGATACACCTAATTTAAATTTGCTTTGAGATAAAATGTGCGAGATAAGGGGAACCCTTGTAACTAATAATACAAACATCTTGGAATTTTGATACGGAAATCTGTTTAATCAAGTAAGTTGGAGTAGTAATCTGTCGGAGGGCTACAAACTTAGATGAGGAGTCAGGCATGATGAGCTGACCTCACCTGTTCTGTTTAATTTATATGTCAATCATTTGATTGGCGGACTCGGTGGGACCAGAGTTGACTGTCATATCGGTGGTGCAAGACGAAATAATATTTAGTTACATGGACAACAATAACATGATCTTGCTAAATCCGCCAGGCAATAGTCTTTAAAAATTGATTGATATATGTGAACAATATGTAAAAATACATCTTTTAACATATAATGTCAATAAAACAATTAATTAAATTTTAAACACAGAAAAAGACTTTAATAATGGTTTTCCCAAGAACCTACAGCATGGGGTTCTTCAAAAGAGGGGTAAAGAGGTTTATTGAGGGTCGGCAATTCACGCGTAATACCTCTGGTATTGCAGGTGTTCATAGGCTACGGTAACCACTTACCATCAGGTGGGCCGTGTGCTTGTTTGCCACCTCAGTGGTATAAAAAAAAAGTACATTTAAGTATGTCGAATATATGTACTCGTAGGCAGAAAATCAAGGAGATGATAGTGATCTGGAGAGACAAAGGCATATAGAAGCAATATGCTGGGTAGACGGTTTAACCACTGTTCGAAGGTAGTTAAGTTGACATTATTTATGACCTATTGTTAGGCTTTCTACACCAGCCAATTATGGTACGAATATAGTCATACAAAAAGAGCTTATAATACACTTTATGTGCAATACAATAACGCATTCCGAGCGATGCACAACTTACCGTGGCCTAGTATAGATAGATAGATAGGTAATTTATTTACATTACTTACAGCACACAAATTACAATAAAAACATACACATAATACACAGTAAAAGAGATAAAAGAATGAAAATAAAAAAGCAACAAAACAAAAACAAAACAACAAAAAGCAAAATATACAAATCAACAATTTCCTTTCTTTCCTTTCCTTCATGCGTGTGCCATAGTAACACAAAATGGTCACAACTCAGTTTATTGCTTTGCCCTTAAAAGAGCAAAACACTGGTATAGTATTATATTGCCTGTGCCATGGTGACGTAGTGCGTTTGACACGTTCGCATAGAACAGGTTTAATGATTTCTTTGCTATTTCGCGTAAATGTAAAGCAACATTGAAATTTTAAGAAGAGATTAAATGAAAATAAGTAATACTATTTTGAACATAGTATTCCTAACTGCGTACCTGATGACCAAGGAATTTATAATAAAATGATTTTAGTTGGCATTTTATGAATTGATGTTTGTATAATGTAATAATATTAAAACTGTAATTAATTAAAATTTAATTATTATCGTAATGAATGTAAACTATGGGCAATATACCTGAAATAAAATTATTTATTTTTAATACGAGTGTATTATTGTATTATTGATAAAGTGGTTTGAATTTAAATTGAACGCAATTGGCTAATAGACCTGTTTTCATCCTCACCTATCATCTCTCACTGATGCCCTGTCAGTGTATATTGACAGCACAATCTAGACTACTATTTTATTATCAATCATTAAAGAAATAATCCCTCTAATATTACAAATTAGTAACTGAGTAGATAGGAATATATTATGGATATTGAACGGTTATTATTACAAAATTTAATCAAGACTCTTCAACAATCTTTCCCTATTAATTAATAAGTAACTAAATACTAATTAAGGAAAATAATAAATACTACGTAAATAATTTATTGTTCGTAACAAAAATTCGTAAACAATACTATTAGCTAGCATTAAATCTACCTTTTGTATTATTTAGCTTTAAAGTTTTAAATATGTCACTATCGAATCTCGAAATATTTAATATGATTTTCGTTAGATGACTATCGCTCTTTTGCTACAAGAGTAGGTAAGTACTATTAAATTAATACCGAGAAATATTCGAAAATGTGAAATCTATATATTTTAATAGATGACACAAACAGAGCGAGTCTTTTGATGTACCAAAACACTCTTAATGAAATATGAATGCCTATTCCAGACTTTTGAAGTTATAAATTGTGATAAGAATGTCTAAAGTTAGGTATTATGTTTCAACCCAACAGAACAAATTTTTACATACGCCATGTGGTCCCACCATAGTATAGTCCACTCCATTTCCCGTGGGTGCCGTAAGAGACGACCAAGGAAATTTAATGGTCGAAGGATGATCAGCAGCGAAAGTTGTGCAGAAATAATGTTTCGTTCATAATCCTCAAAATACATAATACCAGAGGGAGACTTTGTACAAAAGACGTTTGCTTAGGCACCTCTATCCCATTTATGTTTCAACCGTGAAACAATTGTTTCCATGGCTGTGTTTCGGTTTGAAGGGTTGGTTATGGCAGTGAATTTACAGGGAACAGAGAAATAACGCCTAAGTCCTCAGGAATAGCAACCAATGGGGGGTATCAAGGGCGAAACAGTATACTCTGTTATGTCCATGGTACTGCCTTATAGCGTTTTAGTGGCTGACTCAATCACTATTAAATTTTGATATATAAGTGCTATATAGGACAGAGAAGATTATAGGTGACTTTTTAACTCGGTCAGTAAACATATTCCGGTCACGCGGACATCGGCGCAATTAAAAGCTAATAGAATTAAAGAGCCTAATTCTTTGCTTTGCTCATTTTAAATGAAATAAGCAGTGAAATAAAAATGGTTTAAATAACAATATAATACCAACTTTACGATTCTTGATTAATAAACGACGACCTAAAACTTCTGCCTCTTAACATTTTTTAATAAACCGCTTTGGAAATTAGAAAGAAATGAATGAGTACATAATAAAGAGAAAAGTAACGACTTAAAAATATAGTTTTTAAGATGAGATATCTATCTATATAATTTAAGAATCAAAATGTATCTTTCTTATCAAATAACTAAGCTATTTGTTATTAATAATACATAAATCAGAGATACCTACATAAAAAATATTGTACAAGATTTTAACTGTATTTGCAGCGTTTTCTAATACGATTTATTATTTTTACCATATTTGGAAATATTTTTTCTCCAAATTGATACGATTTCCTTAACTCTAATCCAACTACAAACTACGCGAATGACAAATAAACAATTTATTTACCTTATATTACTATTTTTATTGGTATATTCAATGGATTTATAACCTATTAATATAATAAATTCGAAAGTTTATGAGTTGGAACGATGTTTGTTACTTTTTCATGCCAAAACTACTAAATGGATTTGAATAAAGTTGGGTACACAGATAGGTTATATCTTAACTTATTGCATGGGATACTTTATGTATTGGTCCATGCAGGTGGAGCCACGGGATAAAGCTAATACTGCTATGTAAATAAAAATTTAACAAATTTCCCCATTTTATTTTTCTTAGAGAGTTTCAGTTCTTTTAAAATTACGCGATTAGTTATATCTGGTATCATTGATGAACCTAAAGTAGACATAGTCTGTATCTACTATAAAATAACAGACATAGTTTAATTTTTCAAAACGTCTACAAACCAATTACCTTAATTATATAATATAGTTTCTGTTAATTTTTAATAATATTCATATATGGTTTACAAACGACAGGATTTTGTATTTTAGATATTAACAATTTATTTATTTAATATATATATTTTATATATATTAATTAAATAAGACTTTCTGGGTGAATAATCAACAGATTTACCTTTTATTTTCTCTAAGTATGTGTCTATGCTAGAGTAGAGTATAAACCATACATTACACTAACATTTATAATTCTGTAACAACAAGAATTAATACGATTTTTTAGTTAAACTTTAATAATTTACCTGAATTGTCTCGATGTTTCGATCGTGTTACACCGGCTGTGGTCACGTGTAGATTGATGTACCGCTGTCATGTCTCTGCTTCCGAACCACGAGTATTTTCGTCTACCCACTTATTGTCATGCATCACACAAATTCCGTCTTTATTCTTTATCTATAAGTCTTTATTTGATACTTTTAAACTGTAAATTTTGCAACATAAAGTTTGAAAATTGATACGTTGAATACGTTTAAATCTAACGCCGAGTTCAGAGGAATTGGAAAACTGAATATATTTCGTAAAATTGTGGCAAAGACTGTATTTGACAACTTTATTCATTTTCCAAACAGGGTTTTTGGATCTATTCTACATCTTTTGAAAGCATGCCTCGGCTCCGGGATCCTGGCGATGCCAGCTGCCTTCAAGAATTGTGGTCTGATAGCTGGCTCAATAGGAACACTCTTGGCAGGTCTTGTTTGCATTCACACAATCCACATATTCGTGAGTATAATACTTAATTATAACTTGTTATCGTATTTTATTATTATAATTAAAACCAAGTAAAGCCGGGGCGAGGCACAGCCACGGTTATTTGTTTTACATTAGAATGCATATAGGTACACAAACTTCTAAGTAGTTGTGTCATCATCGTCATCATTTCAGCCATTATACGTCCACTGCTATACCCATAGACTGCCATAAGGAACGGTTAATTTTTGTAAAGAAATATATTAGGTAATAAAGGAATATTCTCAAGTGACGACCTCGTACGAGCAAACGTAGTATAGGGCGACCTAACAAGATGGAGTAACGACCTCAAATGCATTGCAGGGAGTATATAGATGCAGATAACTCAAGGCCGTTCCTTATGGCAGTATATGGGGATAGCAGTGGACAGATAATAGCTGAGATGATTTCACATTAAATATCACATTTAATAATAATATTAAATAAATAGATACTATTTATAGTTCTCTTCGCACGAATACAGCAAAAATAAAAATTACAAGGAATAACTGACGCACAGAAAACAATAAACGGTCTTATCATGCGTGTGTGTGCGCAGTGAGCGTGATTTGTGTCACGAATGTAGTGTGAACCGCGCTGAAATTTCGCAAAACAAGGATTTAGTAGTGGTCGTAAACAAATGTAGAACGAATCGTGGAATTTTCAAATATCCACAAGGCAACATTTGGTAGGATTTAACAATGTACCATTCAGAGCTTCTCGTTTTATACTGTGCAGGCTTTTATCCGGTACTTCGTTCTCGTAACTGGGATAAAAGGTAGCCTATCTCCTTCTCCGCACCATATAATACGAATATACGAAAATATGTAATGTTTGGTTAGCCGTTAAGACGCTATAAAGTGATAAACAAAGTCACTTTCATATTTATAATATTATGTTAGTGAAGATTAACTAAGAATATAAAATGGAAGAGAAAATCATATTACGGCGACCCTAAATAATAATTGGGATAAGACTAGGAAGATGATTGGATACCAAATCTTTTCGACTCACGTAAATTAGGAAAAGCTCTTATGTATTAACCTAGAATAAATTCATCTGGAACACATTCACAACTATTCAACTATTGAAGTATGACCGAATATATCTTTACAGGCTTTAAAATATATAATATTACCTAGTATTTGTAGATCATGATAAAAAAGCGCACACGCACACGCACACGCACACGCACACGCACACGCACACGCACACGCACACGCACACGCACACGCACACGCACACGCACACGCACACGCACACGCACACGCACACGCACACGCACACGCACACGCACACGCACACGCACACGCACACGCACACGCACACGCACACGCACACGCACACGCACACGCACACGCACACGCACACGCACACGCACACGCACACGCACACGCACACGCACACTCAGACTCGCACACACACACGCACACACGCGCACACACACACACACACACACACACACACACACACACACACACACACACACACACACACACACACACACACACACACACACACACACACACACACACACACACACATATATTTTATTTACGTATATATGTGACTGGGTTATATTGATTGATAAGAATAAAAAGTAGGTAACAGCATCCCATATATGTGGACACCAAATTTCATAATAATCACTTGCGTTTTTAACATACCAAGAGGATCAACAAACAAACTTACTGTCACATACATGATATTAGTAAGTATTTGCAATTCTGTCTGATGTTTAAGTTCAATTTTCCTTTATTGTTTTAGGTTAAAGCATCTCAAAATATTTGCATCGACGCGAAGAAGCCTTCGATGAGTTTTGCTGAAACTTGTGGCGCTGTGTTCACCTACGGTCCAAAAAGTGTACAAAGTTGGGGAGGATTTGTCAAGTTAGTATATAAGTTTCTTTTATTTCTATAAGTTTCTTTATGCAACCATGTATAGTGAACAAACTGACAGTTTATTTGATGGAAAGTGGCTTATAGACACATACAGTATCGTGGGCATTATACGATACATTTATGGTATAATTTACGTTTCCATATTTGGGGGCATGCCATGTACTTTCATTACCATATCCAATCGATTAAACCGAAACATCGACTGAAAAGTGCTTGTAAATAATGAATTTTATTTACAAGCACTATATATATATATATATATATATATATATATATATATATATATATATATATATATATATATATATATATATATATATATATATATATATATATATATATATATATATATATATATATATATATATATATATATATACCCATCTTGGAATATTAACCATCCACCTGGCTTGGTTTTGTGCGGCCATCCGCACTCAATATGGCAAATTAGTAATAAATAAACAGCTTTTGTAAAATCTGTTATTTATTATATATTATAGGATGGTTGTTCTGTTTTAAATTTATATTGAGACATAAACACCTGTATATATATGTTTATTTACGTAAATAAAATACTTAAGTACTTCCATCACTTCTGTTCCTTTTAATCTATTTAATTAATATATGTAACATGTAACGAGGAATAACTAGATGGGACAGATAAAAGAAGCGCTAGGTGTCATGTCGTATAGGGAGATCAAGGGTATCGCCTGGGATAGAGCTGGCTGGAAGAAGATGCATGAATTAGTTGCACCGACAAGAGGAACCTCTTAATTAAAAAATAAATAAAAAAATATGTAAGGGTATTTATTATTATTTATTATATATTTTCTTAAATTAGACGTACGAACATATTGTTTACTTAATAGAAATTAAAATATCTATTTAAAATTTATTGTGATTATACACGAATCTATGTATTTGATTTCTCTTTATATAATTGTTTGCTAGATTTATTATTTTTATTTCAATGAATTCTGCTTTAGAATTGGGATCGGTGTGTTTATTCAACATCATTTGTAGAGATAATAATAACATATCATATTTTAAAAACCACATTTTGGGTATTCATACAAAATTATTATTTCTATCAACATTCTCGTGTTGGTGGAAAAATAATACTTTTATGTTTTAAAATATTTTATGTATTTTATCAAATAAAACTCTAAATAATATTTTTTCTTGACTAAATAAAGGAAATTTTAATAATCTTACGTCTATGTGAGCTAGACTGTCGATTACTGTTCTCAAATTAAATGTAACTAAGTCTCACAAAGCAGAAATCGATGCAATAAATAGTGATGTACTGACTTGAATATCTGCAATATATATTTTACTCGAGAACATAGAATAGAAATTCGATTACACGGTACTCGAATACAGGTGTTCACTGTTCTGTGTTCAGATGTTCCAATAAAATATACCGAAACGCCAGGAGAAATAAAAATATTTATTTACAACGAGATCAGCGTGTAATAAGGTCATATTTACTACAACAATAAAAATCAATCACTATATAGGTAAAACTTTTTACAAAATGTAATACTAGGGTATTAATATTTTCATGCAGAGACTTAATTTTTAATTGCAGTCTAAATTTGAACAACGCCATCTAATGGGTAAATGTAGTACTATAAATCTTCTGCCGGATTAAATATAAATAACAAAGAGGAAATATTTATTTAATTAAATTTTTCCTAATTGCAAAAGACAAAATGATTAATTGAACATTATATTATATCCATTAAAAGTGAGCTACAACAATCGTAAAGTAAAAAGTACTCGAGTAATCGTGTATTTATCCACCGAGTTCTTAAACTCGAGTCAGGATTTGATTGTTTTTTAACGAGTATCAAAATACTTCAATAAAGAAAAAGAAAAACTCGGCATTTCAATATTGGTAAGTCTTTAACTTGAATTAGTTACTTCCACACATTTACAGTAGCATCCCTCTGTGACAAGTTTTGTTACATACGAAGACTGCTGAAGTACTTGAGAAGTTCGAAACTTCAATCATGTTCAAATGATCTAAACATGAATTTGCCGAATTCAGTCTAGTCTAGGTTTAGATGTTGGGGCGTCAAGTTCGCATACAAGTCTTGTCTAACTAGTCTCTTACCAAGACAGTCTAGTTATCTAGATGTGACAAGTGTTTTAACGTCCAGTATTTAAAGCTTAAATGTAATTTAAATCTAGTGAAGTCACGACAAACGATTAAATAAATAAATAATAAATACTACACAATTATACCAATAGTATAATTCTTAAGCTATGGACTTGTTGGCTGTTATCTCACAGCATGAGATAATCTCAACATCTGGAAGTATAACCCAGAACAAGCAGTTCCGAGCCAATTTAGATAAATTTATTTCTTGAAATGGTCTGATTGTGAAACTAACCCGGGACCTCATTTTTATATCACAAAGGAAGCAAACGAGCATACAAATCCTCTAATGATAAACGGTCACTGTAGCTTATGGAGATCTGCAATATAAGAGATATCTCATGCACATTTCTGACTCTAAAGTAACCTTAATATGTCTCTTTGAAAAGTCCCATATCTTAGTCTTTACAGAAAACCTCAGCAAGGATCTCATTCTATATTTTGAATGGAAACTCCTGTACATCTGTCTAAAACCGTACTGTACATGACCACTTGGATTCCAATAAGTGAGGGTGAATTCCCTGTTGATGGCGATATATAAAGTGGCGTTTAAATTTAAAGGCTCGATATCATCAATAAGTATGAGCCGTCAATTCATCCGCACAACGGCCCAAATTAGAGGCTAAGCACGGAAAATGGAATCCTATTTCATGAGCCGACAATTCTCATAGCTTGTCTATGAACCAAGTCAAGAGGACTAAGCTGGTATCCAGATTTTTCGGTCCATAAATAAGAACAGCACTTTATAAGAGACCAGACTTGCGACTCATACAACAAAGCTCTTTAGATACCAACTTGACTTTATCTTCAAGTTAATTCAAGAGACAGAACAGAACTCAAGAGAGCTAAAATCGTCGATACCGAGGATCATAATATTTTTTGGAGATGTAACGGATGTATTTTGGAATTAAGGACTCACAGCTAATGGGATTTTCTTAGTGTTGAAAGTGCAAACTTTAGTTTTAAACGGTTTAAACTGGAGTAAGTTTATTCGACCCCGATCGGAATCTTTAGTGAGATTACTCGTACCCTCGATTTCAGGCACAAGTTGTTCTCGGTTAATCTCCACAATGTAGAAAGGGATATTAGCATGGCCCATGTACGTATTATATGTCGCAAGTACTATCATTTGCATAACAGTGTGCCTGCCGTTGCTTTACGGATGAAATCTTCGTACCTTCTCTAATCTTGAAAGAGTATCCTTAAAAGAAAAATTATTCTAGTATGTTTATGCTCAATAAACATTTCAATTTTTGTAATGTAAACTTAAAGGCAGTATTTTGTATTTTTTGTTTTGGCGAACTTTTCTTAAATGAAGTGAATTCTTTTATTGCTCGACTACATTTTTAAATAATTAATAATAATAATAATAATCATCATCATCAAATCAGCCTTTAAGTGTCCACTGCTAAACATAAGCCTTATCAATAAGCGAAATTTTGCTAGTTGTTGCCACACTTAGCAGGCGGATTGGCAACCGCAGTTAGGCTTTAGAAATATTTTAAGAGGGCCACTGCTGCCCATCCCTTGCCCTCCCTTAATCGGCTCTTACGATACCCACGGGAAGATGGAAAGAAGCCTATTCTATGCCGGGACCACACGGCCAATTAATAATATTAATAAAATACAATTACGTACATTGTTTTTATGTTGTTTTTTAAAATCTACACATACCTGTATTTCCTTTCTCATATTCAATTCTAGTGTTTTATTCTTATATGCTCATTCTGTTACATTTAACATAACAGGTCGAGCCAGAAAAGCGTTCTGTTAATAAAAATTCCACTGGCAGACACGATAAGTTTTTTGCGAATGTTTAACACAATAAATTCACGTCAGTTACGGTGTTTTAATAAATTGAACTAGATAAATCTATGTAGCTTTAGGAAAAACAAATTAGTACTTTTTATTATATCCAGAATGACATATTAAATTGATAGACTTTCTGGTAGAGATTGGAACCGTCTCTTAACATGAACAGTACAACGAGCATCACGGAATATACTTTGACGCTCATGGCTTACCTCATGTGTTTGCCATTCCGCCTGCGAGTAGGACAGAGACGTCCGAACTAACTTATATTGGTTACTGTTGTACCAAAGTCGAGTACCTCTGTCCCATTCGTGTTTCAACCAGTTGTGTTTTAACTGTGTTTCGGTTTGAAGGGTGGGATAAATTTACTGGGTACAGAGGAATAACATGAGTCCTCAGGAATGGCAACGATCATGGGCGAAACAGTATACTCTGTTATGTCCATGGTACTTTCTAACACTGATACTTTCCGTCAGGTCGTTGCCATTCCAAGTTATATAAAAAAAAACATTTTTATTTAAAATTGCTAGATGCAAAATAGAGATTAGTGTTAGTTTCTAACACTGATATTGTCTTGATGTTCACCCTGCTTTCATCTCACTATAGTTAGAATTTAGACATAAAAATTTAAAGTTAATATGGCGATGGATGGGCAGCAGCGTCTCTCTTAAAAGATCTTTAAAAGCCTAAATGCGTTTGCCATGACAAGCGTGTCAACTACTGACAAAACTTCCCTTAATGGGAAGGCTTATGTCCAGCAGTTAACGGCAGAAATGATCGTAATAAAATTTAAAGTTAATATATTTAAAAAAAAAAATGTAAAAAATGGGACTACCCAAAACAAAACAAAAAAAAAAAAACATGACAAATGACCTACGAGATAAAAAAACTTTGGAAGAATTTACCAAAAGGAGACATTGTTCAAAAGTTGTTTGAATGGATACCTCTATTTCATTCGAGTTTCTGCCATCAAACAGTTGTATTCCCATGGCTGTGTTTCGGTTTAAAGGGATATGGAAATGAAATTACAGGGTACAGAGGCATAACACCTTAGTACTCAGGAATGGCAAAGGAAGGGCATGGTGATATCATGGACGAAACAGTATACTCTATTATGGCAATAAATTATATAAAAAAAAGTCTTTACAAGTTATTATCATAGATAAAATAATACATTATTAATATGTTATTAAGTACTGTCATAAATAAAGGAATGGTCAGTCGTTAACTGACCATTGCTGAAATGAGGCCTCTCCCTTGGGGGATTTGCCAGTAATTGCCACGCTTGGCATGCGGCTCGGTAACCGCAGTAGGCTTTGGTGAGACTTTGTACAAAACTCGTTTGCTTGAGTCTGTCCCATTCGTGTTCAACCGTGTAGCAATTGGGTAGCGATTTCATGGCTGTATTTCGGTTTGAAGGATGGGATATGGCTATGAAATTACATGATACAGAGATAAAACAACTTTTTTTTTTTAAATAGATGATAGTGGAATGGTAACCCCACCCGCGCTATCAGTATACACCGGCGGGGCACCAGTGAAGAATGATAGGTGAGGATGAAGTAGGTCAGTTAGCCCATCGTGATGAATTCAACAAGAATTGTTCACGATGGTTTCCAGGAGGAACCACGTGGAGATCGACCTAATAAGGTATATTTCTAGCAAACTCCTGTTGGGGCTGTCAAACTCTATTGCTAACAATCCTTTTCTCCCTAGACAAAACAACTTAGTCCTCAGGGATTGCAACATATGAACGACATAATACAGTTATGTTATATTCCTGGTACTATTCATATCTATAGACGACAGTTAGTATTTTCCATCAGGTGGGTCGTCAGATTATTTACCATTCTAAGTTGCATAAAAAATACCTCTGCCTACATTTTCAAAATGAATGTGATGATATGTATTTATATTCCTAATAATAAAGTTTAATGTCTCATTTGTTTCAGAACCCTAGTAGACTATTCAATGGCGTTAACATACATTAGTGTATTGTGTGTTTATATTGTTTTCATTGGATCGTCCTTCAAAGAGGTAAAGCGAATATTTTTCATACAAAATGTATTTAATTTATTCCCTATTTTGTGTGATGAATGGATATGGCAGGCTATTAATTTGTTTCAGTGAATATTGGTATTTTCATTAAAATAAATTAAATTGTATTGTTATAAAATAATTTAATTATATTGATATTATGAATATGAAAGTTTGTAAAGGCTGTTTATTTTATATTTATATATACGTTTGATTCTGTATGAATTTCAATGTAATTTATTGTAAGAAAAGACCATGATCAATGGTTATTTCAAATATGACATTTTATACAATAAATTTGAAATAACATAATGTAGAAAATCTCGAATCCTTTTTTTTCTTAATAACATTATATATTGGCATATTTATTATTATTTTTTTATAACAGAATTACAAGTTAAAAGCCTACTTGACGGAAACATGTAACTGTCATCGCCTATAAACATGAGCAGGCGTGGACATTACAAAATACACTCCGTGGTCCCGCTCATGCATTGTATTTCCCAAGTACTGAAGTGTTATTTTTCCATAGCCCTTAATTTCATCATTATATTAGCTGTCCGCTACTAAACATAGGCCTCTCCCTTGGAGGGTTTTGTCAGTAACTCTTAGCAGGCGGATTAGCAACCACAGGTAAACTTTGGTGATGTTTTAAGAGGGACGCTACTGCCCATCTCTGGACCATTAACTTAGTCACCTCTTACGATATCCACGGGCGATCTCTCTTATGTCGGAACCATACAGCTTTATTTTCATAACTACTATTTCATACTAATATTAATACCACTTTTAGGTATTGGACGTAGCCCTGCCAGAGTACCAATTGTCTATACAGATGTACTGCTTCATGACCCTGCCGCTTCTACTCATAATCTGTCAGATACGGAACCTCAAGTACTTGGTGCCATTTTCAGCAATCGCCAACATTATGATTTTGGTGGTTTTTGCTATTACTATGTACTATATGTTCGTTGACCTCCCTCCATTGAGTGAGAGGGAAATGGTTGCTGATATTTCACAGTGGCCATTATTTTTAGGTAAGTACTTTATTGTCTTGTAACTTTATTTTTTATATAACTCTATTACCATAGTCCTCCTATATTTAGGTTGCCAATAGTTGCCATGCTTGGCAGGCAGACTGGCAACCATAGTTAAGCTTTGATGATGTTTTAAGAGGACTTGTTTAATATAACACAATGGAGCTTCTATTGGGACCCAGTTTTCAGTTAATTGACATGGCTTAATCATGTTTTTACAATTTTTAATATACAAACAATGATAATGTTCTAAAAATACTTTACAGGAGAACAAAAATATTGTAGGTAGTAAAGAAATAACTATATCGGCGCCTGCCAAAAATGACATATGACAAATGTTCATTGTGCAATAATACAAAAATAATAGTAACAGGCATATAGGTTTTTTTATGGGTGAAAATGGAATGGTAACCCCGCCTGCGCTAATAGTATACGCCAGCGGGACACCAGAGAAGGGTGATCGATGAGAATGAAAATAGGTCAATAAGCCCATCAGGAATTAACCATGATAGTTTCCAAGAGAAACTGGATGGAGGTTGATCTGCTTGAGCATATTTATTTGATTCTTAGTCTCCATTACTAACAATCCCTTTCCCCCCAGCACATAGGCTAAAAACAGGGATGCTGCTGTTCATCCCTTGATAATTAAGTTCCCTCAGTCACTTCTTACGACACCGACAGGAAAGGAAGGGGAAATTATTCTTTTGCCAGAACCACATGTCAAATATTTTTTTTTTCTGCAACTTAGAATGGCAAATTAGCTAACGGCCCATATAATGGGAAGTCGTAACCATCGCCTATATAAATATCACCATCGACATATACATTCTTACTCTTCAAAACTTAAGTGTTGTATCCTATAATTTCACTATATCCCCACCATTCGAACGGAAACATAACCACGCAGTCACATTTGTTTCATAGCAGAAATACGAATGGGCCAGAGGTTCTTTTTAATGGATGAAGATGGAATGGTGCATCCACCTATGTTAACAGTATAAAATGGTAGAGCACCAGTAGGGAATGATCACTTAGTTCATAATAGCGAGTTCGCTAAGATTAAACTACGATGGTTATTAGGGGGGTCCGCATGATGGACGATCTAATAGGGTATATTGCTAGCAATAGGGATTAATAAACTCATTACTAATAATCCTTTTTCTCCCAATGGGATAGAAGTACCCATGCAAATGGGTTTTGTTCATAATTTCACTCTTTTTATTGAAGTATCTTCAATTCGTATCGCTGTTTATATTTTAGGAATAGGAAGAGTTTAGTTTATTAAGTTTATTTCTATTTTATTTTATTTTCTGTCATACTAAATTATTTATTTATCAGCAATTTACGCTGAATGGCAAATTTTTGCCACGTTCCATAATTTAGAATTTTATTCTTTATCAATCGACTTCTATTGTTATTACAAGGAGATTCTCGATTCCATTATATGGTTTTTTTTTATTTTTGTTACCTCATAACCCCATCAGCTATAAACCGATTTGGAAAAAGTATTTTTTTGTTATCTGAAATCTTGTCTTGAAAATGTTATCTAATAGCCCCATTACTGGCAATATACCCTCTCAGGTTGACCTCCACGCGGTTCTCCCTGGAAACCATCATGTTTAATTCTTGTCAAATTCATCATGGTGGGCCAACTAACCTGCATTCATTCTCACATATCATCCTCCACTTGTGTCTCGTCGGTGTATACTGATAGCGCGGGCGGGGTTACCAATCCATTTTCACCCATTAAAAAGAATATATTTTGCTTCCTTTCATGTACTATATTATTTTATGTAATAAAATATCTGTGTGGTGACAAAATAAGTATACAATATGTTAGCACTATTTTTCATCTTCAAAGATATCACAAATAACGCTTGGGGAAATAAAGGTTAATATATCAAAGCTAGAAAAGAAAATTTAATATAACCTACTCTAAGTTACTAAGCTAGCATTGTAATAGTAAACTAATATGCTTCTTTTATAGAGGGAAACTCGTGTCCAGCAATGGAATATACATATGTTGTATATAGATGATAGATTATATAGATTTTTAAAGATTGATTGATGGTGATAAAAAGTAACCCTAAAGATTTTTATCCGTCTCAAATATTTAATTTCATGACAATTGGTTGAGCCATTAAAACTCTAAGAGCAAGGCCGGATTATCCATTAGGCAGTGTAGCCAATTGCCTAGAAGTCCGCCATCGGCCAAGGGCCCGCGAAACAATGTATTATTTTTTGAGAAAATGTCTGATTGAAAATTACCTATGAAAATTTGTTAAAAAACCCACAATGAAAATATTACTATATATTTATTTTATCGTCGTCCTTTTTCAGTATATTTCGTAACGCATTTCAAGTTATTATATCGCATGAGGGATATCATGGGCGAAACAGTGTACTCTGTTATATCCATGGTACTGCTCATGTCTATAGGCGACGGTTACCACTTTCCATCATGTGGGCTGTCAGCTTGTTTGTCATTCAAAGTTGTATAATAAAAAAAAACAAAGCATATTTGTATTACGAAAATGTGCTATTCTCGCATTTTATTTTGTGGGAAGTCGTGAATTATTAAGAGAGAAATTTATGGAAGCAATTATTCTCACCGTAGCTTCACAGTACATATAGACAAACATTTTGTATTAATGCAAGAATCTTCAAAATTACTATTTAAAAATGCTTGTAAACAAGTCTATTTGGATAAAGATGATATAAATTTGAATTTTAATTAAAACTCACTTTTATTTAATTCAAACTTACTTTTACATTTATAATATTAGTGAACACTAGTTTTTAACTGAGACTTTGTTCGTTTACCCAGAATGTATTTATTGACCAGGGAAAAAGTATCCCATCATCATTTCAGCCATTATTCATCCACTGCTGGACATAAGCCTCCCCCATAGACTGCCATAAAGAACGGTCCTGAGCCACCTGCATCCATTGACTCCCTGCAACGCATTTCAGGTCATCACTTCATTTAGTGCGGGGTCGCCTACACTGCGTTTGCCCGTACGGGGTCGCCACTCAAGAGCCTTTCTTCCCCATCGATTATCGGTTCACCCTATATTCTAAGTTAATTTGTCAAGACTCCAATAAGTAGTAACAAAAACAAACTCACTTTCCTATTTCTAATATTAGTATGAACTTGGTTAAAAATATGTATTTTGTTTTTGCATAGCACTGTGATTTTTGCTATGGAGGGAATTGGCGTGGTGATGCCAGTGGAAAACGAGATGGCAAACCCGCAAAAGTTCCTCGGGTGCCCTGGAGTGCTGAATATTTCCATGGTGATCGTTATAATTCTGTATGCCATCTTCGGATTCTTTGGCTATCTTCAGTTTGGAGACGACGTTAAAGGCAGTATCACATTAAATCTTCCCCAAAATTCTATGTAAGTAATTTTCGCCTATTTATGCAAAAAGGTCAACATCATGCTTTTAAGAGAGTGTTCTACCCTTAGACTATATAGATAGAGCATCGAATATCGAATGTCAACATTTAGTCAGCTTAATGTCAACTATATTTAGCTGACTCAATTTGACATATATTTTTTATATCAAAATAAAATGCGCCAATATTGTAACATTGACAATGTGTCAACATTTAGTCAGCCAAATGTTAACTAAATTTGGTTAAGTCAATTTGACACATATTTTTTATATCAAAATAAAACGCTCCAATATTGCAACATTGACAATGTGTTAACATTTAGTAAGCCAAATGTCAACTACATACATTTAGCTGACTCAATTTGAAACATATTTTTTTTATATCAAAATAAAACGCGCCAATGTTGTAACATTGACAATGTGTCAACATTTAGTCAGCCAAATGTCAACTACATACATTTAGCTGACTCAATTTGACATTTTTTTTTATATTAAAACAAAACGCGTTAATGTTGCGAGCTTAGATTATATAGACAGTGTCTCTATACAGATGCTTCAAAAAAAGTGGGTCAACTTTTTTATGATTTTCCGTGATAAATAACTATAAGGTCAACCAAGGTAAGTGTGACAGTGAGGCAAGTGTAACAATTGGTAATAATAGGCTAAATAGACTATCTTCTTCAAACCGTCATATATTGGACAATAAAGGAACTTTCAAGCTATCTTACAGTGTCACAATGGCGTACGTAACGTCAACTGTTTTATCGACAGACAACATTTTGTCTAACTACTCAACTGACAACAGATCGCATTCCATTCAAGCATTCTGTTTTTAGTTACTGTGTGAAGTTTACGAGTTATTTCGACAAGATAAAAGGTAAGTAATACAAATTAATATTAGGGCTTTACATTTAATATGTCTTTGTAAACTTAAATCCACTATTCCTTAAAATATCTTTACAGTTACACTTACCTCGCTATAAAACTAACATGTTCAAGTGTAACAGTGTCACGCTTACCCCACTCATTTTCTATGAGAATAACATAACTAGTAATGAACATCTCGAAATAGAATATCGACATTTTTATTAATCGACTTAAAAAAAGTTAGGTTATCGATAGTATTTACATAATTTATTTGTGTTTACGTTCTTTCTATGATAATTTATTTGTTTTGTTTTAAATCGCAAGGAACTATGTTAGAAAAACTACCGACAAATACTCTCAGGAAATATTGGAGGAGGCTGTCAAAGCAGTACAGGAGCAACGTATAACGGCGTATAAAGCTGCAAAAATTTTCGGTGTCCCTAGACCCACTATAATTGCACACGTATATCGAGGTGTCAAATCTAAGTCGCATGGAAGGCCTACTGTATTTACACCAGAGTTTGAAAAAAATATTGCGTCAATGCTTCACATCATGGAAAGACATAGCTTTGGTTTGACTTAACGCGAAGTAAGAGCATTAGTTGCCCAATACGTTCGTCTTAACGAAGTTGATACTCCGTTACGACGAACGTATTGGATACGTGAAGATTGGATAAGAGGGTTCAAAAACAGAAACAAACTTTCAATTAAAAAACCTCAAGGAGTGGAAATAGCAATACAAAAAGCAGCAGACCCATTTCTGTATATCAAATAATATAATACAAACATGGCAATATCTACGGTTTGTGTCGTATCCTAATTTATACACTTATCCTTCTTAAACTATCGATATTCTGTATTCTTAAATTGTCGATAAAATAATTACCTAATGACATCACTATTTTGTAAGACTCCTGTTACACTATCGCCATTTGGATAAAAAATCCGTTATTTCGTAAAAATAGAAATTAATATCATTGCAGCAGATCATAAAATATGTTGACATGAGTAAATTTTACGGAAATTTTGACAGATAACACAAATACTGGAGTAAACTGCGAAGAAAATAGTAAGTGTTACACTTACCTCAGGTTCGGGGCAAGTGTGACAGTCCTCGACTCTCATAGGTTTTGTAATATTTTCTCACTTAATAGCAAGATATATGTATTAATTTGCTTGATTAAACAAATTATCATAAAATAATAAACGTTTCAAAACAAAAGTCTTTGTATTTTATCAATACAGAGTAGAATTATTTGAAAGAAAACTATTGTACCAATAAATTTGCGTCACACTTGCCTCGGTTGACCTTATATGAATCTTTTATAACTTCGATATTTATTTTTTCTTATAATTTCTGCATCTTTTTAATGCGTAAATACTAAATTTATTTATATAATAATACGTCAATAAATACATTGTATTTGTAAGTATTTAGAACACTGATAAAAAACTACTCGGCTAATTTGACAATAAGCTGACAAAAAGTTGATCCGTTTTTAAAACTCGATGCTCTATCTATCTAATCTAAGGTTGCAAGTAATTGGAATAAAAATTTCAATTTCAGACCAAATAGATTTTTCATATTTGAATTGGGAACTATTTGTTTCTATGTGATATAAATATACATATGTTTGTATTATTTACAAATTAATATCTATGTATTAATAAAAATGGCGCCCATTTTCAATGATTTTAAAATGTGATACGTTCATAAGGCTATACTTGGATATAAATAAATTAGTAAAGATAGAATTTTATTGTTATCGAACTGAGCATGAGTAGACGGGTACATTATTGCAGTTTTAGCAGGCTTCTCTTTTTATATAAAATACAACCCATGTTGCCCGCGAATATAGTTTAAAATTAATTAAATAGTTTTTAAATGTAACCATTACAAACAACAAACCAAATAAATATTTTTTTTTTCACTTTATGAGCTTAGATAGTATGAGTCAATTATTAGTTTTATGTATGACTTTGATTTCACCATGCAAATGAAATTATTGTACTTGTTCATGGCTTGATGCTACTATTTTTAACCTATAAGTCCTATAACTAAAAACTTCGTTTTTTTCTAGTATCGCAAAAAGTGCCACACTATTGATGGCGGTAGTCATATTCCTGTCCTTCGCACTACAATTCTATGTTCCTATGGAGATGATCACGAGGCTTCTTAAAAAGAGAAAGTCAGACAGCTATGAGAATGTCATACAAATCGCCATAAGAGTAACTATTGTTACTATCACTGGTGAGTACTTATTAAAAATGCTGACTTCGTAAACGCACACACACGCACAAACACGAACATATACACAAATGCGCACACACAAACGCAAACACACGCGCATGTACTATACATATATATACACCTGAGTCCTCAGGAATGGCAACGCATGGGGGTATCATGGGCGAAACAATATAATCTGTTATGTCCATGGAACTGCATATGTCTATAGGCGACGGATACCACTTTTCATCAGGTGCACTGTCAGCTTGTTTGCCATTCTAAGTTGCATAAAAAAATGTCGACTTTACGTTTCACGTTCTAACTTCACGTTTTAAATTCAATTAGTAAAAATAATATTTTGACATCTATTACTCTTAATGGGGCCCATTATATTATATTTTGTTAAATATCTCCCATGTACAAATTTCGTCTAGTTACATTGTAATAGCATAAATAAATAATATCCATTGGAAATTATTACAAAGCGCCATCTAGTCCAAAAAATCAGACCTATTATGGGCATAGATAACTTTCATAAATATTTAAATACTTTTTTTTTAAATACATACATATCATTATATATATACTATAAAAAAAATAACACCCAGACCAAATGGTCCTCTTCATAACCAAAAATGTTGGGTATAGTGGGGTAGAATCATTAAAAAATACTATTTAAAGCGCTTAACAAATTTTTACCAAAAAATATTTTTGTTCGTTAATTAATAGTGTAAATAAGTAGGTAAATATAAATAAAACATTCCGGCTCACTTCCTCCATCTTTTTCAGATTAATGCTAACGAGCTATCTACAAGCAAAGTTAATATCTAAGCACTTATGCTAAGAGGTGCCTTTATGCCAGACTTCATTTAATAAGTAGTAGTCGGCTTAAGTTGGCTTAAGTTTAATTTATAGCGATAGTTGCTTTAAGTACCAGATACTATTAATAGTGCTAGCAATTAATAATGTATTTATAAACATTTATAATTATAGACAAACTCGCGTACGAAATTGCAAAAAAAAAAATAACTTAATAAAGTTATTGTGTGAAAAAAATTAATACTTTTCCAATATTGGAATAAATTCTGAAGCGCTAAAGCTCTCTTTCTTTAAAATTTTATTAGATATTTTTTCAAATTTTATATTACTTCGAAGTAATTATTATGTGATATTTATTTATTTAACTCTTTATTGCACCAAAAACATAAAAATAAACAATGACATATAAACAATTCAACTGAAATACAGTAGCATGGAGTACAGATTAAAATATACATATAAAGGTACAAAAGGCGGTCTTATCGCTGTGGCAATCTCTTAAAGACAACCTTTGGTTAAAGGAGAACATATAAAAGTAGGTAGGTGGCGCAAGAGTTAATTAATATTTTTTTATGTATAATGAACAAAAACATCAAATACATATTATATATTAGACTATTTATTATAACAAATAATATTTACTACATATACATACACATACAATATAGTACAAGTATAATCCAATTTTTAGTAAAATTTTATCAGAATTGCTTTTCATTTAATTCTCGATACCAATCGTCTTTGCCATAAAAAATTTTGCTATCAAATAAAAAAGTGGGATTAGGTTAATAATTCTACAAAATTCATCCCTTTAGCTGTAATGATTTGAAAAGATTTTTTTTTTATTAGGATTTTGTTTGAGATTATGTTTATGATATACTATTTAAAATATTTATTTACTTATTCTTTATTGCACAATACAATTTTGTACAAATGGCGTGTTTAATGCCATATTTCTTTGACAATTACGAAAAAAAACATTTTTTTTTTTATATTATTTTCTTATTATTTTAATGTTATTATAAAAATAGGTGTACTCTTCCACAAATTGTTATAACAAACACATATACTTCCTCAATAAAGGGAGGTTTTGCCAGTAATTCTCACACTTGGCAGACGGGTTAGCAACCACAGTTAGACTATATTGAGGTTTTAAAAGCCAAGCCCATTCCTAGCCCTCCCGTAGTATTTTTTTTTTAATGAATGATAATGGAATAGTAACCCCGCCTGCGCTAACGGTATACGCGGGCGGGGCACCAGTGAGGGATGATAGGTGAAGATGAAGGGGCAGGTCAGTTAGCCTATCGTGATAAATACACTTGGAATTCAGCACGATGGTTTTCAGGGGTTACCACGGGGAGATCGACCTGTTAGGGTATATTGTTAGCAATGGGACTGATAATCCGTATTACTATCAATCCCTCCCCCCGGCCTTCCCGTAGTCGCCTCTTACACACTCACTCATAATAAGTAGAGAAAAAAAACTACCACAGCAATATCCAATAGTTTTGTGTACATAATGTTGCCAACTACAAATGCAAGAGATCTTCCAATGTTTATCAAGATACAGAACTTGCGAGAGCTATAAAACTTATCCAACGTAACAAAGTAGAATTTAGCCTGTTTTATGTTTGGATGCCAATTTTCTACACTTTGTCGAAAAAGACCAAAGTGGATTTATTACAATAATTTTAGTAGTTTTAGGTATTCGACGCAGCCGGTCCGAGGGGAAAAATTGCGTAGCGTAAAGTTTCTTTTGTTTGTTTTGGACTTATTACTCCATATATTAGCCTAGCAACGAAACGAGGATTATATTTGTCTAGTGTGTGTGTAAATTAGGAATATTTTTTTATTCAAATATACTTAATTATAAGCATTTTAATAGCTTTTTACTCGGGCTGACATATAAAAATATGTATGACATAAAAATATCATTAATAATTTATTTATGTCAATTAATAACCTAAATTTGGCATTTAACAAAGTAACATATCTTAGCTATATGGAATATACATAAAGATACCATCAATTGAGTAGCCTATTTATGAAATTTATGGTAGCCAAAAATCTTAAAAATGGACATTATTTGTGCTCCTATTTCTTAAATAAGACTGGTTTATAAACTTCATTCCCTTTTATTTATTTATTTGTTCATACATAAATAAAAGGGAATGAAGTCATTCTGAGTCATAGATTGTTTCATTTGCTCTTTTAATACAGTTAATTGTTTGTTATAGTAATATTTGTGTATTTATTTATAATATATGTATATATTTATTTATTATATTACGTGTATGTTTAGGTTAGTCTAATTATATGTTTGTAATATATTAATACACATATTAAGTATTACTTTTGAATTTCCTCAAATCGATAATGCACCGCCTATTTATTTCTCGGTTTGCCCAATGGTTGACTGGTAGACCGTCCGGTATTAAATCCGCCATATCTACATTGTTTCACTGTGCATTAAATTTTAAATAAGTAATTAAATTACAGGAGCTCAGACGTTGTTTAATTTTTTTGCGAAATATTACATCCATAAATCGTTTAAATCCTATTTAAAGCCAATAATAGATTGTCAATTGATTTAAATAATTTTCTGAAACATTTTTCCTTAACCAGCAACAAGGATCTCTTTAAAAAACTTGTGTAGCAATTTTTAAAAGGTTCAGTTAAAAAGTACCATAAGAATAGTATTTTTCATGCGTTGCCTTTTTGAGGTCTGTAATATTATCTCCAGCCCCTTAAATTTCAAATAATAATTACTTAATAATAATTCAAATATTAATTTACCAGAGGGAGACTTTGTACAAAAGTTGATTGCTTGGGTACCTCTGTCCCATTCGTGTTTTTACCGTGCAGCAGTTGTGTTTGCATAGCTGTGTTTCGGTTTGAAGGGTGGGATATGGCGTGAATTTACAGGGTACAGAGGAATAACATTTGAGTCCTCTGGAATGGCAACGCATGGGGGGTATCATGGGCGAAACCGTATACTCTGTTATGTCCATGGTACTGCTCATGTCTATAGGCGACGGTTACCACTTTCCATCAGGTGGGCCGTCAGCTTGTTTGCCATTCTAGGTTGTATAAAAAAAAATTAATTTACTTATATTACATTGTACTAATATGAAACTTTTCTGTTCACAGTTGCCATCGCAGCAGCATTCCCGAATCTAGAATTGGTAATCAGTTTCGTTGGAGCGGTATTCTTTTCAACTCTCGGCCTTTTCATTCCAGCGGTGGTCGACACTGTATACCATTGGGATAGGGGTCTTGGGAAATTCAATTATATTCTTTGGAAGAATGCTGTAATAGCTGTAGTATCAATTATTGCTTTAGTGTCGGGCGCTTACGTGTCTATAGTTGGTATGATAGATGAGTTTTCTGGTGATCACGACATCGGTCTTCTAAATAATACGTTATCATATACGTAATAAAGTATTATATTGTTTAAAATAGGTTAATTTTATTTTTATAAATATATAGAAGAGCATATTTTAAATACACAGTCGGGACTTAAGGAGACAAAAACATGTGATTATCTGTTTAAAGGAAGTATGAATACCGTAATGCGAATGCGGTATGTAGGGTGGATCTAGATAATGATACTGACAATATGAGGGTACTCGTATGCGAAAAGATTGCGCGAGCTGTTAAACGAAGACGCCGCTCACTTCAGTCCTGTCGTGACCACGACGTGGTGCAGTCCACGTCGAAACGTTGGCAATAAGGAGCAGGTATGTAGGTACTATTTACCTACAAAAGCTGTTTCCTCGCGTTAAATTCCGATTGCGTATTTAAAATATGTTTAAAACAACTCGAAAGTTTGAAATTAACTATATGCTAGAGCAGTTTTTATTATGTCCATATTTATTATTTTCCCTAAAAATTTTAATTGACTCTTGTTGGATTGGATTTATTGGACCATTCTGTACATTCAAATTAAGCAAGCTGTTTTGTTGCAATGGTAAAAAAAGAATTATATATACCACTTTTAGATAGACGCATTAAGATAAAACATCCACCAGCTTTTAAGTTAAATTTTCTAGGACATAACCAAGAAAATCACATCCAGTTTGATGCAGGAGTTTTTGCGTTACGACGAAACAAAAATATCTACACACTGAAAGACTTTCCTAGTGACAATTTTATTATATTATATTTATTTATTTATTTATTCATTATCACAAATATGTGTACATGGCGGACTTAATGCTGAAAGCATTCTCTCCCAGTCAACCATAGGAAAGTGTCAGAATACTCGAATGCGGTACTAGTAATTATTGATATACATACATACTAATATTACATATATAATCGAATAAACATATATGAATAACAAATATATTTACACATATATGATATATACTATATTATACACGAATTTGAGAATAATATAAAGTACTTCTGCTCGGATAAAGATAAAAAGTGAGCGTGAACGCTTTTTTTGAAAGACGGTTTAGTCGGTAGTCTTTTAATGGCGTCATAATTATAATTGTATATATAAATAATATAGATTAATTAACATGTATTAGTTAACTAGATAAATAGTTAATTATAATATAATATGCTCGTATAAAATTACCACCATCACTCCGTCTTAATTGTCAATTAAAACTTGATTGAGCTTAGTGCGATTCCATTGGAGCTTTAACCGATTTACTGATACTTGAATAATTTACGCGAAATTTAGTCGCTATCAAAATTAATTTTGACTTAAATGTATAATTTATTACTTATGTCTGATACGCCAGACGCTGTAGACTTCTAGGGTTTATTTTGGTAAGATAACCTTACACTGTCTAGCGTACCCGTTATTTTTATACACGAGTGCTGGAGTACTCCATGTACCTTTATATGTATATACAAACAACTGTAATTTATTATACAAAAAGCAATTACTAAAACTATATTATGAATCTATAGATCTATATTAATGACTTTAACTCAGCCATAAAATTAATATTTTAATATTAATTTTAGCACACTCAGAGACTCATATCTGATACTCTAAACCAGTGTTTCCAAACTTATTTACGACGTGACCCCCTTAGTATGTAATATTTTATGACATTGGTTTTTTAAAAGGGGGCTCTTGAAAAGGAGGGTAAAGAGGTTTCTTTAGAGTCGGCAACGTGCGCGTAATACCTCTGGTAATGCACGCGTTCATAGACTACGGTAACCGCTTAACATCAGGTGCGCCACATTGTTTGCCACCTCAGTGGTATAAAAAAATATATCCTCCACAGTTCATCATCCTACCTGTATGTATTTTATTATATTACAAAAATATACATTTTAATTTATTTTAATAGATGTCGGTTAAATACAATAAATAATTTATACTGAAGTAAAGCAGACATTGATTACGTTGCGAAACATCTCCATAGAAAAGATTGGCTAGATAAGCTAGGGTAGGTAGGCTAACATAAATGTTATATATGTCTTATATTATGGGATTATGCAATAGATTTATAAAAATTATAATTTGAAAGTGCTTGTAAACAAGTCTATTTAAAAAAAGGATGACTTCAATTTGAATTTGATTCTTATAAAAATATCTTTGTGAACGTTATTTGTTTTCTTACGACTTCGCAACTTTCCGTAACCCCCTTATATAGGCTTAGGGACCTCCCAGTGAATCGCGACCCACAGTTTGAATAACACTGCTCTACCAAATAAGTTACGCCCATGGAATTTTACTATTTCTATATCTAGTTACTAGATAAAAGACATAAAGATCTTTACTTACAAAACGCAACTTTGTTTGTGTACAGATTTTTTGCTTTGCAAATACTATAAAAGACTAGGCGTAAATAAAATAATAATAAAATAAAATAGTAATTTATACCTGAAATTCATAGTCGTCCGTTTCTTCATCAGATATGAAAAAAATATTTAGGAGATTTATTTCATATTCATCATATAAATCATCAGTTATGTTTATTTAATTCTTTATCTCTCTTTATTTTTTTTATTTTATGGTCCAGCTTTATAGTCTATATATATATATATAGAATTTATTTTCACGCCAATCATTTAACAACTGACAGCCATCGAAACAATAATAAAATTACATCATTATCTGTGTATATATACAAAAACAATTTAAAAATTGTTTAGTATAATATTTACTTATATAGTAACTTCATTAAAATCTTTTGTAAAACATTTCGTCAAATATTTACTAAAAAAAAAATTAGGGAAGTCATTCATCATCATATCAGCCTTAAACTGTCCACTGCTGAACATAAGCCTCCCCTAGGAGGGTATTGCCAGTAGTTGCCAGACTTGGCAGGCGGATTGGAAACCACAGTTAGGTTTTGGAGATGTTTTAAAAGAGACGCTGCTGCCCATCCCTCGCGCACCCTTAATCAGCTCCTACGACACCACAGGAAAGCAAGGGGTGATATATTCTTTGCTGGGACCACACGAGACGTTAGAAGACTATTTATAATTAATTATTAGTATTATAATTATTATCTAAATTAATATAAGATATTATTTTGTTGTTTATTGTTTTTTGTTTATTGTCTAAATTATTATAAAATTGTTTTTAATTATTTAATGATATAAATGGGTTGTTACATCAATAAAATATATAATAATACTTTGGCAGCTTGCGCTAATTTAAAATTAATTACAATAGTTTAGAATAATAGATGCGTTTCCTAAAAAAAAATATTAATATTTATAAAAATAGCAATAATGACTTATATGTTGTATTATATGTGTGCTGTATTATAGCTATAACTTTAATTTTGTAAATATTAATTTATTAAAATTTGATTTAACAAGATTGTTTATTTATTGTTTTATTTCTTCAATATATATATATATATATATATATATATATATATATATATATATATATATATATTCATTTCATTCTAACAAAAACTACTAAGTTTAGCATGATTGACCATAAAATTTCAATTAATTTTTTTTATATACTATATATATACACATGTAAGTTTGTTTATTCGTTACCTCATAATGCCTTAAGGTTGGTCCCTAAACCAAAATAGACACGAACTACTAGATGGCGGTAGAATCGAGACTTGTAGTTTTTAAAGTTTTTTTAGGCTTAACCAGCCACTATGAAAATTTTTTTTATATTACTTAGAATGGCAAACAAGCTGATGGCCCACCTGATGGAAAGTGGTAACCGTCGCCTATAGACATGAGCAGTCATGGACATAACAGAGTATATTGTTTCGCCCATTATACTCCCCATGCGTTGCCATTCCTGAAGACTCCGGTGTTATTCCTCTGTACCCTGTAAATTCACGCCATATCCCACCCTTCAAACCAAAACATAGCCATGCAACCACAACTGTTTTACGGTTGAAACACGAAATTTAGTGTACACATACTATATAAGCTTCGGAACATAGCCTACAATCAATGAACATATCCTCGTCACACAGACGAAGTCGCGACTAAAGGCTAGTACACAATAAATGAAAACATAACGACCCAAAACCGCCCTTTTACCCTAATTAAAAAGAGAACTCCCATCAATATGGATTACGAAAGGGATTGTTTAAAATTTAATTTATAAAACACATTAAACTTTAGAACGCAAAACAATTGCATACCTATTACAAGTTATATCCCGTGGATTCATTCGCGTAAATGAATATATAAATTATACTATAAGTTAATATATAAATTATACTATAAGTTAATATATAAATTATACTATAAATTAATATATAAATTATACTATAAGTTAATATATAAATATCAACATCATTATCATATTAGTCTCTAATTGTGAACCGCTGAACATAAGTTTCCCCTTTGGAACTTTTGCCAATAGTTCTCAAGTTTGGCAGGCAGATTGACAACCGCAGTTAGACTTTGAATTTTTTTTTATGCAACCTAGAATGGTAAACAAGCTGGCGACCCACCTGATGGAAAGTGAATTTAGATGATTTAAGAGGGACGCCTTTGTTGTTTAGTCTCGGCATAGAATAAGCCACTATCTTTACCGTAGGTGTCGTAAGAGGCAACTAAAGGAGGACAGGGATGGGCAGCAGCGTCCTTCTTAAAACATTACCCAAAACTTAACCGCAGTTGCCAACCCGCCTGCTAAACGTGGCAACTACAATATCCCCCAAGGAGGAGGTTTATGTTCAGCAATGGACAGTTAAGGGCCGCTATAATGTTGATGAAGAGGAATACTGCTGCTCATTCCTCAACCATAAACTTAGTCTAATATATAGTGTAATAAATAGTGTTTCTTGTAAATGTTTTAAGAGGGACGTTGGTGCACAGCCTTCGCACTCCCTTACTCGCTTGTTACGACAGCCACGGGAAAGAAAAAATTGGCCTAATCTATGCCGGAACCACACCGCCAATATTAAAAAATAAATAGATGAAAAAAATCAATAAAAATTGATCTAAAAGTGATAAAGTGATATACTTATTAGCAATATAAATGTAAAAGTTCCCTTGTTTAATACCTCTTAGCGCTTTAACAGTTTAACCAATTTCTATGATATTTGATAAACACATACTATACGGGTTGGAGAAGGGCATAAGGTACTATATATTTCGGTCAGTAAACACATCCTGAGGGCCCTACCATGAAATGTTTTCCGTAATTTCGGAGCCAAACGAAACACAAATTTGATGTTAAAATTACATAATACATGCCGTTTGGAAATATTAAACATGTTAAAATGTTCCTTTGGACTTTTATGATAGGATGTATGACGCACGAAATGTTAAACTCCATTTATTGATTCGATTTTGGTATAAACAAAAACACGAAATAGAGTCCGAAATTCTGGAATTTCATTTCATAGTAGATCCGCTGATCATCCGAATGTAGTCGCGGGTAAAAACTAGTGTTTAAAAAAAAAGAGAACGAATTCAGACCTCCTTCATTTTGTAGTCGCAAATTCAAATTCAGTTCAAATCGTCTTTATTTAAATAGAATTTACTGGGTACAGAGGAATAACACCTGAGTCCTCAGAAATGGCAACGCATGGGGGTTATCATGGGCGAAACAGTATACTCTGTTATGTCCATGATACTGTTCATGTCTATATGCGACAGTTACCTCTTTTCATCAGGTGAGCCGTCAGCTTGTTTGCCATTCTAAGTTGTATAAAAAAAAGACTTATTTACAAGTACCTTCAATCGTCATTTTTAAAATTTACTATAGGGCTCAGAAAATAGTTATCTGTTGAGAAGAGACAGAGAAATCTCTGTTAACATATACATATGTATATTATAAGTACATATATATTTATTTAAGTGATGACTATATCTAAAATTACATGGTCATTAAAAATCCTGTTAATGATCAACTAACACCATGCACGCTTGTTATTCAATAAGTGTTTTTTAATAACAGTTTTAAATGTATTAAAAGATAGATAATAAATCTTTCGGTATCTTATTACAACATATAATTCCCATTACCATAAAAGACCTATTAACTTTATCTAAACGATACAAACAGCAAGTTTGTATTTGTATCTAGTGTTAAGATTATTTAGACCACTATTTTTAAAAAAACATTTGAAGATTCCTGTGTATATACAAAATGTTTGTGTATATATACTGTGAAGCTACGGTGAAAATATCTGGTTCTTTAAATTTTTCTCTGAATGATTCACGACATCCCGTAGAATAAATTTCGTGGACAGCTCGTTTTTGTAATATATACGAGTATGGTTTGGATATCGGCTGCTTTATCCCATAATAATATTCTATAGGACAGTATATATAAATATAGAAATCTTGATTATGTAGATAGAGCATCGAGCCTCATAAACGGGTCAACATTTTGTCAGCTAATTGTCAAATTAGCCGACTCGTTTTTATATCATATGAGAATATGTAGGACTGATGTATTAGAATTTGGTCTATCAGATCATACGGCTCAGTTAATAAAACTTCCTGTCAAAAAGATTTTAAAAATAAATTCTTGGCATAAAACAATTCGAGATTATAGCAAACGCAATATTCAAATTTAAAGAATGTTTAGAATCTTTCTCTTATTACGAAATAGATGATCCAACGAGTGCCTATCAACATTTCATTGACAACTTTAAAATGTTTTATGAATTATGTTTTCCTAAAAAATATATTACCATACAAACATATCCAAGTCAAAGTGGATATCCCGCGGTCTAAAAATTTGTAGTAAACAGAAAAGACATTTATTATGGAAATACAGACTAAATTCGACTAACCATAATAAATTAAAATATCAAATTTATTCTAAAGTATTCAAAAAGATTATTAAACTAACCAAACGTGCACAAAACAACTATGACATAAAAACATCAGATAATAAAGCTAAAACAACATGGAAAATTATTAACAATTCTAAATTCAATATACCTAAAGATTTTATCCGGACAATAAAAATAAACAATGAATACGTTAGTAACTAAAAATATAGCAAATCATTTCAACAATTACTTTATCGACAGAATTAATCGTACGACTAACTGTGGAAAAAATATAACTGCAAAGCTCCATCATAGAACACATTCTATGTTTATCCAAGTACACCCCAAGATATAAAAAAAATCATAAGAAACTTAAAAAATACAAACAGTGTTTATGATGGTTTTTTAACTAAAATTATTAAAGAGGTAAATGAACATATATGCGCTCATTTTATTATAAATTTAAGTATACAGACAGGCCTTTTCCCCAGCAACTAAAAAAGAATAGTTAAACCTCTTTACAAAAGGGATGATAAAGAGTAATGGAATCTTATAGACCCATAGCACTGATATCTATATTTTCAAAAATATTTGAAAAATACCTATATACTGAAATTAATGCCTACTTAGAGAAAAATAACATTATCTGTAATGAACAAAAGGGTTTTCGAAAAAATAAAACTATAAATATGGCGATTTATAATTTTTTGGAAAAAGTTATGTCCGAAATTGATAAAACCTCACCTGTTTGTTCTATATATTGCGATATGACACAAGCATTTGATCATGTAGACCACAGCATCCTAATACGTAAACTCGAGGCATATGGGATAAAATATCCTTAATTTGATAAAATCATATTTATTCGACAACAAATTACAGAAGTGACAAGATTAAATTGGAAAACAAAAAAGCAACAAAAGTTTATATCAAAACAGCGCACTGTAACATTTGGTGTTAGTGTGCTGGGTCCCCTTCTTTTCCTAATATATATTAATGACTTTCCTAACTTTTTTGACCAACCTATGACGTTATTCGCTGACGATAGTACAGTTACTGTAAATTGTAATGATATTAATTTATATGAATATATTATAAATAAATCTCTGACATCAATAATTGCTTGGTTAAAAAATAATAATAAGGGAATTAATTAAAAAAAGACTAATATTATGCACTTTAATCAAAGAACACAATCTAAATCTAATATTAAAATAATATATGAAAATAATATTATAAATGAAGTTGACACTGCTAAATTTCTCGGTCTAAATATTGACAAAAAACTAAACTGGAAAACTCATATAGACGAAATAAACAAAAAAATATCTAGCATATCTACTCTACAAGCTGTCTGTACAATTGTATCATGGTTTAGTAGAATCGATATTAAGATATGGCATTATTTTCTGGGGTAATTCAACAAATAAAGATATGACTTTTAAGATTCAAAAAAGATGTATAAGATCCATGTTTGGATTGAATGTCCAGATGTAAGCCATTATATACATAATATCCTCACTCTTCCGTCCTATATATATGAAATGGCCTTATTTGTGAAGTTAAATCCAATCTTATTTCCACGTCTATCTGATAAAAATTATCGAAATAGACGTAATAAAAATCTATTTGTATACATCCAGCCAAATGACTTTATTGCAAAAAAGCATTATATGTATGGCCCCAAAAATTTATAATAAAATTCCAGATGTATATAAAAATTTAAACACAAACTTATTGGAAAAAACTGAAAATGCTACTGATTGACAAATGTTATTATAATATATATACCTTTAATATGTTTCTCTTTCGACATTTGCTATTGACATTGTAATTCCATTTGACTTTTTATTTAGTTTATATATAATCTTCACAAAATATTAATATGTTTTGTAAGGCATGTATATATAAATATAAATTGCCACTGTCCTTGATTATTTTGTAGATAATGTTAGCAAAACATGTTAGGACTATACAAAACAATGAACAACATTTTGTCAGCTACATTTTCAAATAAATTTATCTTTATCTTTATCTTTATCTTTATCAGTGTTCTAAATATTTAAGCGCACAATGTATTTTAACGTATCTATATTTAATTATTTAATGAATTAAATGAGTTTTTGTGCAATAAAATGGTGCAACATTTATAAGATAAAATAAAAAGAGAAGTTATAAAGGAATTACTAATAACTATTTATCACACAAAATTGTATGAAAAATGAATGAATGAATTAGTATAAAGACACTCTATCTTTATAGGGGGGAAAGGGATTGTTAGCAATGGAGTTCGACATTGCTAGCAATATACCCTATCAGGTCGACCTCCACGTAGTTCCCCCTGGAGATTATCGTGAACAATTCTTGTTGAATTCGTCACGATGGGCTAACTGACCTGCTTCATCCTCATCTATCATCCCTCACTGGTGCCCCGCCGGTGTATACCAATAGCGCGGGTGGGGTTACCATTCCATTATCACCCATTAAAAAAAAATCTTTATAATCTAAGATAGAAATATGCAAACCTATTGTTAAATTTAATACAAAATTATTTTAAAATCTTCTAAAGCAGTTATTTGTTATTTTATATAATTTTAAAACGTTTAAAGTACATTAAGGCGTATTATGGATACGGCGATTTTTTATCATCCATCATCATCATCAGATTGTTATTATAACTCTTTCAAGTAAGATAAACGTTTCCTGTAGAGTTATAATCACTGTAATCTAATGTCATATTGTGCAGCCACGAACGTGTAGTATTTACAATTGAAATGTATATTATACATTGTCAGCCATTATATCAGCCATATATCTGCTTAGTATAGACCTTGCCAAAAAGGTAGTTTTTCTAGTACTTACCACGATTGGCAGGTGAATTAGCAACCGCAGTTTAGGGACGTTATATCCAATACTTATTAGACAATTTTGTATTTTTCATTTTCATTATTTTAAGACAGCGTATTTTCACTACACACAGTATAGTTTTTCCGGTTGCTGCTAAGTTACGCATGTAATCAACCTACTTCAAAAAAGTTAAGTTTCTCAATTCGATTGTATTTTTTTTTTATGTTTATTACTTCATAACTCCGTTAGTTGTAAAACGAATTGATTAATTTTTTTTATCTGTTAAGAGATCCTTCAAATTGGGTCCATAGAAGTTTTATCATTTTTTTTATACAACTATGGTGGCAAACAAGCATACGGCCCATCTGATGATAAACTAAGTTACCGTAACCTATGTGAGTACACTGAATAGTTTAGTTTATAAATTAGAATAACGAGTTTTACCACAATTGACGTTGGCTATTTTGTGAAATGTAATTTTAATTATTTTGATAAAAATTTCAGTATAACTTTTTTTTTTATACAACTTAGAATGGCAAACAAGCTGACGGCCCACCTGATGGAAAGTGGTAACCATCGCCTATAGACATGAACAGTACCATGGACATAACAGAGTATATTGTTTCGCCCATGATACCTCCCATGCGTTACCATTCCTGAGGACTTAGGTGCTATTCCTTCGTACCCTGTATATTCACGCCATATCCCACCCTTCAAACCGAAACACAGCCATGCAAACACAACTGCTTTACAGTTGAAACACGAATAGGACAGAGGTACCCAAGCAATCGACTTTTGTACAAAGTCTCCCTCTGGTAATATCATATTTTTAACGATATAATTGTAGAATTTACAATTTGCATCCGTGCAAAGCTGGATTGGATCAGTGATACTTCTTAATTTCTAATATCGCCTCATATAATAAATATTGTTAATAGATACATAGTAATGCTAATCTATGAAATGTTTAATTTGAGCGGTAAATTTAATATAAATTTGCTTGTGTGAAAGCGGATTCACCATGTAAACTTTACTGAATATGTAATGTTATTGGAAACTTATATTTAGGTCGTACCACTTTAAATTGATTATCTATTAACATGTCTGTAAAGTTACTTAATGAAAATGTACTAGGTATTTAGCTTTAGGTATTAAATAAACTATCAATAATTTTACACATAACTTAGAAAAAATATTACAATTATAATATTTATGTATTATAAAAATTATATTAAATAAACGCTTGTCATTCAAAACAATTTACATCTATGAAAAAATTTACTATGTAAAGCCACTTTATTATAATAACACTTTTATACAAAACTTAATTTCAAAATGTTTACTCAATTTTCCTTTTTTTTGTTACAAAATAGAATTAAAAATACACAAAATTATTATGTAATTAAAAATATAAATAAAAATTAATTAATTAACATAGTAAATATTTGTTAATCTTCAGGCACAGGAACAGTACGTTTCATTGTTGCTACAATAATTTCATCAACAAAACTCTCATTACTAAGACGCACTGTTATGTTTCCACTAGGAAAGAATCTACTCGAGAACGTAACTTCACCATATCCGCAGAACAGTTCAATAGAGCTTGCATCAATAAAAATATTCCAAATTAGTATATCTATAGGTTTCCATTGAGTACGTCTAACGCCATCATCTCCACCGCGATCAAGTATAACTAGATCTTCATTGTAATCATAACTGATCGTTAGCTTCGCTAAATCATCTTCTGATTCAATAAATAGTTCTATATTAGACGACGGCCTTGCTTTTAAAGTAATTTCACCTGTATTATCATTTAAGGCTATAGCTTCACTCCTGTATATATTCTTACCGGTATAAATTACATTATCCCTTACAACTGCAATTTCTTCTACAGGCTTCTGAATTAAATCATTTTCTGGAGACAAAGTCAACTCCCTGGGAATAGTCATTTGACCAGCCCATCCATAAATTCTTTCAGGATAATTTTGTTCCCACATACTAAACCAAGCTATTAATATTCTTCGGTCTTGCGAGTCTAAAAACGTTTGTGTTGCATAAAAATCATGACCGTGATCTAGTTCTTTGAATTTAGATATAGGGTTAAAACGGTGTGTCACATAATCAAATGTTCCAACAATATATCCTGTTTGGAATAGATTATTGTATTTATCACTTTCAGGTTCTATGCCTTGAGGAGAGAATAACAAAACAAAAAGCCCATTGATTTCGAAAAAGTCAGGGCATTCCCACATATAACCAAGCATTCCATCCGATTCAGCCAGAACTGAGACTTGCTCCCATGATATCATATCTTTGGACGAATATAGTAAAACACGGCCTAATGTATTATTATTAAAAGAGTTTCCTATGACCATGTAGTAAGTATCTTCATGCTTCCACACTTTAGGATCTCGAATATTTGGTTGATGTTCACTACCATTTATAACTGGATTATTCTTGTATTTTATAACATTAACACCATCTGCACTCGATGCTAAAGCTTGATACTGTTCATGATCATGTTCTTCATTAGCATGGTTTAAATTTCCTGTATAAAAAAAATACATTGTGTCATTTTCAACAATTGCACTACCAGAAAACACTCCTGTCATATCAAACCACTGATCTGGATACATTGCTATAGGAAGATGTTCCCAATGGAATAAATCTGTACTCTTTGCGTGCCCCCAGTGGGTTATACCGGGCTCCATACTACTGTTGGGATTGTGTTGGTAAAAAAGGTGGTACTCATTGTTGAAGTATGAGAATCCATTAGGATCGTTCATCCATCCATACGGAGGGGCTAAATGATATCTTGGATAATACATAGAATTTACATCAGCACTGCTTTTACAAAAATATAACATAAATAGCATAGTGTGTATAGATATTTTTAAAGTCATGTTCACTTAAATATATCCGGAAACTGTGTCAGTGGAGACTTGTACGTCAATAGTTTGCTTCCACTTAGATTATCGTTTTATATAGCATGCGATCTCGTATCGCGCTTTGGGCTGTTTGGTCATCATAGAATAATAACCAATTCTAGTAACCTTAACCATGAATTTTATAAAATATAGTTGATATTCACGTTAACTTTTTGTATTGTTTAATTACATAATTAGATTTGTTTTAAGAAAATAATTTAAAATTTCTAATTTTATATAAAAAAGAGCATTATATAATCATTATACATATATAATGCTCTCTTTTTATATTTCGGAACATCGACTTTTTTGAGGACTCGAATTTGAAAGAATTCACAGAAGTTGGACAGGAGTCGCACCTACTGAAAAACACTCATTGGCTAGTAATCTAAGATAACTTCTTGATCTCATAAATAGAATTGATTCTTGATATATTTAAGGTTTACACTTTTTTATGGAAAATGGAATGACAAACATAAGCAGCACTATGGACATTACAGAATATATTATGATGTCTATGGTATCCTTCCTGCGTCATTCTGAGAACTAAAGTCCTATGCCTTCGTACTATATAATTTTATTACCAAGTCCTTCAAACCGAAACACATCCCTGCAAATACAGCTGCTTCACTACTAAATATCGAATAGAACACAAGTACTCATTCAGAGAACTTTTATAAAAAGTCTCCCTCCGGAAAATTAATACCTAAAAATTGCTTATTTCAGTATTTTACTTTGATTGGAGATTTAAAATTTTTATATGGATTTGTTGGTCCAAGTCTAAATTAATAATCTAAAGTAGTGGTACAAATATATTCGATTCATTTCACACTTACTTTGCCGTTCATTGAGCTCGATGCAACAAATTTTTAGTACGCGCGGTGTACAATTGTAACTTTATAACAACGAAATCTCTAATAGTCTTCCCAGATTTCAGTTATTCCAATTCCTCTGAATTGTTAAAAGCATTTCTTGTTCCCATTAATTTAATTAAGTACATCATAAGATATTTATGATACATTCTAATTAATTCGTATTGTATAATTTATTTTCAAGTACTTTTATTCATATTCTCTCCGATACAGCGATAAATTCGATGTCCATTACTTTGAAATTTATTTTTTCTTTTAATTATTTTCGCTCATAAATTCATCTCTTCTCGTAGGTATGCAAAGTAGATAAATAAATTAGTTAATTTGAGAAATTGGTTTAAATAACCTTTAGAACTAATATTTTTTAAACTACATAAGTGGCACTAGATGTCATGTCATATAGGGAGAACAAAGATATACAATAGTATGGGATAGAGTTGACTGGAAGAAAATGCATGAATTAGTTTCATCAACAAGAGGAAACTCTTAAATGAAAAGATGTAGATGGCAAGCAAGCAGACAGCTGATTATAAACTGTCATTGTAGCCTATGGACGTCTGTTAAAGCAGGGATGTCACATATGCGTTGTCGACCATGAAGAAACCTTGACCTCAACTCTACTCACTCTTTTTGAAGACTTCTTTAACAAAATAAAAGAAGAGATAAAACTACATTGGAATATATATAGTAATAAATAAAATTTAGCATTTACAAGAATTGTAATTGCCATCTGTGTGTTGGAGTTTCAATCATCTGTAAACTCTAGGTAAAATAATAAAATAAAATAATATAATAATAAAAGAGAACCATGTAAATTTTCACTAATAATTCAGTTATATTTTACTGAAAGTAATATGTTATGTCTTCGGTAAGTATTGTTACGTTAACGATTTCAACAAAATAATAACATGATACCAAGATACAATATAGTCGATATTTTTGTATTGTAATAAATGTAATAGACGGAGAATAATCTTATATCCTTGATATATTTCTAGAATTGTAATACTCGTAAGTATCTCTTCGATTTCATATATATATTCAGGTCTAAGACTATTTTTAAGGATTTATTAGAAACATATTTAATGTATAAGTTATAACTTAACCACCAACGGTGTTGTAGATTTTTTCAATGAGATATATATTTCATCAACGTTTCTTTTGTATAAGGGTAATTTGAAACCGTTTTGTTCAAAATTTATTTTTACTACGCCGAATTGTATTTTTGTAAAGAACTATAAACAATTAATGGGCATCTAATCTGATTCGATCCGAAACATAGATTGTTTTCTTAGCATTCTTTTTGTAACAAAAAAAAAAAAACTATTAAAAATATTACAATAAAGAAATAATTAAAAATGGCTCCGTAAGTTAGGAACAGGATTAATACGTCCTTCAATTTTATAAAATTTCATGAAGTTGTATTATCCACCCAATAATCTGCGGAGACAAATTAACTTTCTTCTTGGACTATTCAAGTATAGATTTATACTTAGTTGTATTTTTCTGAATCAATCGTCTCCATATATACTATACAGTTACCATATAGTTCTACAATATAAATGTTCACCCTGTATATCACTATATTCATCATCTCAACCATCATATGTCCAACGCTGAATACAGGCCTCCCTAATAGGCTGCCATAAGGAACGGTCCTGAGCCACCAGCATCCACTGATTCCCTGCAATGCATTTGAGACTGTCACTCCATCTAGTGGAGGTTCGCCCTTCAAGAATCTTTCTTCCCTATTGGTTAAGCTATATGACAAGCCCATTCCCTTCAGCTCGTTTATCCTTAGGGCTATGTCGGTTACTTTGGCTCTTTTACGGACATCCTTGTATCGGATTCTGCCTCGCAAAAAAACTCAAAGCATAGCTCTCTCCATAGCTCGCAGAGTAATTTGAACTTTTTGCATATGAATAAATAGCTATTATAATCGTAACTAATTCCTGATGAATTTGTCACGACAAGCCAACTGATCTGACTTCGTCTTCATCAATCGTGCCACCTTGGGCACCTTTGCCCCATTCGTGTTTCTACCGTAAAGCAGTCGTGTTTGCATGGCTGTGTTTCGGTTTGAAAGGTGGGATATAGCAGTGAATTTATAAGGTACAGAGGAATAACACTTAAGTCCTCAGAAATGGCAACGCATGGGGAGTATCATGAGCGAAACAGTATACTCTGTCATATACATGGTACTGCTCATGTCTATAGGCGACTGTTACCACTTTCCATCAGGTGGGCCGTTAGTTCCATCAAAAAAAGTTATCACTTTTGATCAGAGATTCGTCTGATCATTTCCAATTTCTAAATCGTATAAAATAATATAATGTATTAATCATCCATTGAAAAGATGATGAATGCTTGGCAACATAAGTATACCTAAAGGATCACTCAGTAGCTATTGTTCGTTCCATTATTTTATCATTCATTTATTCATTCCATTATATTATCATTATCCAGAAGGCAATTGTTATTGATGATAAAAATATATAGTAAATTATATATATATATATATATATAGTCGCGATTAAAAAATAGGAGTTGATCGTACATGGATGAAAATTTGATGTTGTGTGTATTTTTTAATGCTAAATCATAATAAAATAAAAATAAAAAATTTTGTCGAAAAAATTAAATATTTAGGGGTGGGTCACCCTTATCATGGAGGGGTATGAAAAATAGATGTTGGCCGATTCTCAGACATACCCTATATGCACACAAAATTTCATTAAAATCGGTTAAGCCGTTTCGGAGGAGTTTGGTAACAAACACCGCGACATGAGAATTTTATATATACATATATATATATATATATATATAAAATAAAATTTTTAAAAAATATATATATATATATATATATATATATATATATATATATATATATATATTATATGTATATATATATATATATATATATATATATATATATATATATAGCCATAAAAATATTCTTCTCAATAGAACTCGAAATCCAGAGAATTGAACTTGGAATATTATTTCGCAAAGCAACATTTCTCCGACCGCGTTTAACATCAAGGAGACTGGAGGATGATATTTTTTATTCATGTATCGTCCATAACTGTCCACTGTTGAACATATTTCATTCATTATCATTGGTTAATTCTATTTGTGACTTTCATTTATAAAAAAACGTTTAAACCTTCATCGACATTTATTAATGACCTTTAAATTCATAGGTAAATTAGACAAGGACTAATCGCGACCGTCTGACCATTAACTGTCATTCAAACCAAAAGATAACTGATATTTATCAGTACTATTATTTAAAATTATAGTTCTGAATATAAGGCTAAGGAAAACGTTATCACGCGACTATGCAATAAAGTGTGAAAGGTACAAATAAACAAATAAGATAAACATTTGTACCTATTTTTTTTAATAAAAATTACAATAAAAAACATCAAATTAATGCAAATACACTATATAATATATAGCCATAAATCTCTGAATGCCAAATTGTTTACGCAAATTATGCTACACATGTTTCACCTCTGAACGAGGCATCTTCAGGCAAATAATTAAATTATTAAATTCGTAATTAGATTCGCAGTTTGAGTGCTGAACGGTTAACACTAGGCTCTTAGAAGCGATCTAATAATTTGCCTGAAGGTGCCTCGTTTAAAGGTGAAACTCGTGTCGGAAAACGTGCGTGAACAAAATGACATTTGGAGATTGATGACTAATATATAAATAAATAAATATATAATAAAAAGGTTGTGAAACTTCTGGCAGTAATAGTGGTAATCAATCTTCGTGTGCTGGCGTTCGTAAAAATACTAATTGTATTATTATTTATTTATTTATTTAACTCTTTATTGCGCCATAAATAAAAATATACAATGACAAGTGAATAACTCATTAATTGTATCGGAATTAAACAAAATAATTCTAATCACATAACCAGCAATTCTCAGTGTAAAATGGGTCACCCCTTCCTTTCCCGTGGGCATCGTTAGAGACGACTAGGAGAGGGCGAGGGAAGGGCAGCAGCGTCTCTCTTAAAATTTTCTAAAAGCCTTTACTGTGGTTGCAAGGCTTATGTCCAGCATTGGACAGTTAACGGCTAAAATAATATCTAATAAAAAAAAAATAATAATAATAAGTACTAAAATAAACTAGCAATTAGGCATGAACAACTTGACAACATAATTTATAAATCTCATTAGAATAAACATTCTTATTATAAAGTAATTTATTCTATATTGGGTATAAATACAGTTAGAAATCAAATTCTTGGAATAGAAAACAAGTTAACGGCCCAAGTTGCAAACTCTTTTGTAATTTCTGTTGCTATACCTTTCTTTTCTTTTTATTGTTATTTTTTTTATTAACTAGCTGTACCCTACAGCTTTATCCGCAGGATTCATTATATACATATATATATATATATATATATATATATATATATATATATATATATATATATATATATATATATATATATATATATATATATATATAGTATCCTTTATGCTAAGTTAGGATATAACCTACCTATGTATCAAATTTCATACAAATCCGTTGAGTAGTTTTTACGTGAAAGAGAAACATCCAGTCCATCCATCAATACAAACTTTCGTATTTATTTTATTTATTCATTAATACATATATATGTACATGGTGTACTTAATGCTAAAAGCATTCTCTCCCAGTCAACCAACAACAAATAGGGAAGTATCAGAATACTCTAAACAACACCATGGGCGTCATTCATCACGGACATCATAGTGTATTCACATTATAGTGTTAGCATTCATGTACTGACATTCATGGACTCTGATGATATGCTTCCGTTCCCTGTAATTTCACTATCGTACTTAAAACTTAAAAATTTATATGCAAGTGTTAGATATTTATTTTAAATTATATTAATTTTCATAAACATCTTGTGTCAAAATGTGTATCTACATTTATTAATAAAAATCAGTATAACAACTTTAATAATAATAAAATATTAAAGTTATTATTAGGTATACCAAATTTTGTAATGAATTATTATTGTAATGTATATAAAACATTCATATTTTAATTGATTTTCTAATTATTTATTATCATGATACTTGAATAAAAAGTAATGAAATTGTAAGAACACGTGGTCTCGCTGACTTGTTTACTCGAATTCGGTCCTGTAGATATAAAAGATTGTTATTTGGGTGGGGAGGCACTTCTTGTCCATCCGTTGAACAGAGCGGAGCTTCCTGGTGTATCGAGAGTGAACAAGTATAGTAAACCACGTGGTCATTATGTAAAATATATCACAATTATTGTTGATGGAAGTTTTAAAGAAATTATAGTTAAATAAGTGTCAATGGATTAACAGAAGTTGGGTATTTATGTTATATTATTTCTTATATGTCATATACAAAGTAAAATAAGTAAATATATAATTTAATAGTATGATATCTAAAATAAATGAACTATGAGAACGTGTGCTATTTATTACCAAGATGCTTACAACCTTTATATTGCTAAAGAATATATCATATGTAAAGTTAGAATTACATAGTTAAATAGTTATATATTAGAAATAATATTTTAAATTATAATTTGAGACAAGCATAGTTGCTTCATAAAGGAAATGTCAATGGGACGGTAGTTTCAAAGCAAACAACTTTTGCACTGTGTAGTCCAGGCATAGAATGAGCGAGCCCTTCTTTTCTCGTGGGTGTCGAAAGAGGCGACTAAGGAAATATAATGGTCAAAGAATGGGCAGCAGCATTCCTCTTAAAATATTACTAAAGCCTTACTGCGTTTGCCAACCCTACTACCAAGTATGGCAGTTACTGACAAAACTCCCATATGTTCAACAGTGGGCAGTTATTGGCTGATATAATAATAAAAAAATATATATGCCGTTTCCCTCTAGTAAATATAATGGTCTTTTTGTTTCTCAAATACTAACTGAATATTTTCAACCGACTTAAAAATTAAGGAGTAATTAAATTCATCAACTATAACTACAACTATACCACAAAATACTTGCACAATAATTACTAGGTTTTATTAATATTAAATAAATATTTGTTACAAATTATTATTAACGTAATCACGTTTGCAGACGCTTTTGTTGGAGAGAAAAAATCTTTTTGCAACCCTTCAACAGGATCTGGTGAGAAGTTAAAATGTACTCGGCGCATGCGTGCCAAAATTCACGGATGTCCACATTTGAGTAGTACATAGACTGCTTCTCCACCCAATAGGTGTGTCTATATTTTTAAAGCGAATGTGAGACAAAACTTTTAAAAGTCGTATCGTATTAAATAAATTACTCGCTTAATTAAGTATTAAATTTTGTAAATAATTAGAACGGTGTAAACATACTTTTAGTGTTTTTAGTGAATGGTTTTTCAATGGTTTCGAATTAAGTTAAAGTGTTCAAAAGTTTATTAGTAAAATGTAAATAAAATGTGTTTTATAAGCGTGTTAAATGTATAATGTGGGTTAATGTAGTGAATGTTACCATAGAAAACCCATTGACGTCCTACTAATGGGAACTGGCATCTGTTCTTAGACAAGATTCTGTTTTTAGTTCTTTGAATACAGTAAGTTTTATTCCTATATTAATAGTTTAATACATAAAACAAGGAAGTAATTAAGATAATTTTATTTATCATTTTACTAACACTATATATATGTATTCTTTTATACGTGAGGTATAAAACGAACTTTATTATTTACTATTAATATATTATATAATAATATAATTAACGTAATCCATTCCTTAAAACTGGGAACACTATTCATTAATAGGGTCTAAATTATAGTTTCTAAAATATTTTTTTTTGCTTCGAAAAAAAAAACATTTTATGTAATATAAAATGTTTTTTTTTCAAAAACTATGAATACATTAAAATTATCAAAAAAAAAAAAGAATAATCTGTATTTGTGCCATCAGAGCTATTTAATTATAAATATGTACCATACCTTGTACTTTGTAGGTTGTTCTTTTTTTTTTCAAGATTATTTTAGTTTGGTAATATAATTTATTTTTTTTTTCTAGGAAAAGAATATTTCTTGAGACCCTATTTATGAAAACTAGTTTTAAGTAATGTTAGGTTAAAGAAATTTCATACAAATCCATCCGAATTTAAAAATCCAAATTTAAATATTTGTATAAGTACGATTATAAAATTAATAGGATTACTAGTCGTGTCCTGTGGTTTTGTCCGCGCGATTGAAGACAAAGTATCCTCTATATTAATGTTTCTTATGGTTTATTCGTAAACTTAAACGCACAATTATATATGTAAGCGTACATATGGCAGACTTAACACCTAATGGTTTTCTTTACCAGTCAACGATGGGTCGAGCAGAAAATTAAATAGGCGGTGAATTCACTACTAAAATAGGTACAAATATTGTTACTTATACATATAATTTATCATCATATCAGCCTTTAAATGTCCACTGTTGAACATAAGCGTCCCTCTTGGGGGTTTTGCCAGTATTTGCCATGCTTGACAAGCGAATTGGCAGCCGCAGTTAGGCTTTAGAGATGTTTTAAAAGCGACACTGCTACCTATCCTTCGCCCTACCTTAGTCGATTCTTACGACACCCACGGGAAAGGAAGGGGTGGCCTATTCTATGCCGGGACCACACAGCATAGAATAGGCCATCCATACATATAATTATCTGTTCGAAATGTAAAGATAACGCATAAATAATTATAGTTTGATATTTTTTTTACTTAAGTGTATAATCGTGTGATTTAACGCCTCAAATAAAATACAAATCAGCAGCTTAAGCGTGATTAAGCATCAATTACTTCAGTTTATTGATTTATCTATATTTTTATACTAATATAATAAAAAGAAAAGATTTGATTATTTATTTGCATGCCATAAATTCTTTCAACTGTAGAAAGCTGCATTATCAGTGAATAATATAGACTATATAATATTTTTGAAAATTCTATCTACACCTTCGAAGCCGAGCTGGATCGTTAGTATAGTATGAATTTAACAAACTAACCGAATTGTGAGATGAATTCTAAATTGCATCAAGACCCAACTGTCTGTAGCATTAAAGAAACTCATAAATATTTTTAACAAGCTTTCACATTTATAATGGTATGAAATATAGTGTGTCGGCCGTTAACTGTCCACTGAACATAGCCTCTCTCATAAGAATTATTTTGCCAGCAGTTGCCACGCTTGGCAGGCGTATTAGCAACCGCAGTTGGGTTTTTAGTGTTTGAAAAGGGACACTGCTGCCTGTCCTTCCACTATAAGCTCCCTTTGTTGCCTAGAAAGGAGGGGGTGGCCTATTCTATGCCGGAACCTACACGGCTAATGGTATGAATAGCAGAATGTTGGGGGGAAGGGATTGTTTCTAATGGGGTCTAATAGCTCAATTGCTATCAGGTCGATCACGTGCCCCTCACTCCCTCCCGACACCAACGTGCTAAATTCCAGGTGTACTCTTTACGATGGGCTAACCGACCTGTTTCTTCATCCTCACCTATCATCCGTCACTGATGTCCCATCAGCGGATACTGTACACAAGCGGGGTTACTATTCCATTATCATCCCATAAAAAAAAATAGCAGTATGTTTTTCATTGATTTTAGCACAGAGTGAAAAACTTAAAAAGACTGCGCTTTTATATTTCTTTTTATAGTGTTGTATAAAATAAAAAAAAAAAAACAATGTGTAGAGATAAAGCCCGCCTCTTTGTGGATAATGGACAAATTAAAATATAATATATGGCTCTCGAAATACATTTAGAAGTATTATTTAGACACATATAAGTACGTGTGTGTCTGATACTGGCTCAATGCTGTCTTTTATATCTTTATTTTTCTCTTTTGTTATATGCTTTGTTTTATATCCGACTTTTTAAATCAAACTTTTTCAATTCAACAAAAGATATTTTTTAAGTATTATTTGTTTATTATGATTAAATAGAATAAATTTTCCATTTTAATAATGTCATATACATACGTAACGGAAAATTAATAAATTCACTGTGTTTCTGCCGTTTCCGACAGTTGTTTTGATTTCATCCGGAAGTCTTCAGGGGGCGTTTGGTGCTTTGTCTTAAAGGCACTGAGAGTTCATTAATTTCCGATATATATATATATATATATTGGATAAAAAATAAACATAAGTTTTAAAAATAATAATCCGAATAATATGTCAGGCCCGTGCTCGCGTCACAGTTGCTCATGACTAAGTATCACGATTTGATTCCGAAACTAGTCGACCCTTTTTTGATCTAATTATACGTAGTTAAACCGGTAGTTATTACATTCAAATAATAATTCTATTAACATTATAAATGAGAAAGTTTGTAAACAGTTTTGGATGTTTGTATGAATTAAATTTTGTACACGACTAGGTTATACCCTAATTTAACACTCTGGATACTTTGTATATTAATACACGCAGACAAAGCCACAGGATACAGCTCGTTATTTAATATTTTTATGTGTATTTCATGCGATATTTTCATCATTAAATTATGCATTTTATATATAGGAAAACCAATGAAATAGACCACCAAATCAAATCGTCAAATCAACAAAAAATATACATTGCACTTTAAACTCAATTTTTAGGATTACAATCGTGAAAATATCATCCAATTTGGTACAGTAGTTTGTGACGTACAGACAAAGAAAAACAATAATTTTAAAAAATATTACCTAGGCTCCTACTGCTCTCATTAAGACATCTTATATAATTTTTCTTAAATATCTCTTGTAGCACTTAGAATATTTTCTATTATAATGACTATGTATTAATTTAAGATATGATATTACCGTATGGTCCCAGCATAGAATGGACAACCTCTTCCTTTCCCGCGGGTGTCAACGGTTCTTCTCAGTAGATAATAACTTTCCGAACCCTATATTATATAAAATATGACAATTTAAAAGTGCTTATAAACAAGCCTATTTGAATAAATATTATTTTACTTTGAATTAATCCAACACAATAGTCTATCTATGTACAAAAATTTATTATAATTTGTTCAATAAATTATGTGTGATTATGTAATAAATATAAAAATACAGTAATAGTAATATTGAACAATATAATATTTTGACTTTGTTTCAATATATATATATGTATATATATTTTTTAACAACTCGGTGAACTTTACAGTCTCCCAATACGCTTACCCAAGGAAGCATCAATACAAGAACATACATATATAATTAAATGGAACAATATTAATTAGATTTAAATCACATAACAATAATAGAAAAAAAAACATGCATATCTTAAATCTCTGAACACAAACACCGTGTGGTTATCAGACGAAACTCCAGTAAGTTGGAGGCAAACATGTCTAATTGCGGATATTGGCTTAAAACATAATTGAGCAGTTTCAATGCAAGAGAAACGGGAGCTTGCTTAGCCAACTCTGTTCCTCTTAATGGAATATCAAATAAGTGCAGTCTACATACTCGCACGTAATTAGTGGGTGCTTCTATTAATGTTGATACTAATACAATTTAGTTACATTTTTATATTCATATACACACACACATTCATACATATACATACACACATGCATATAAACACCTACACAAATACATAAATACTGCTACATGTATACGTAAAACACCAAATTATAATTTTTTTTATATCTGTAGAAATAAATATGCTAACCCGACAAATAAACAATTAAGAAGATGACAATTTACTCAAATAAAAATCGTTAAGTTTTGTTTTAAAACTAGGCAGACATTTTATGTTTCGAATAGAAACTGGTAAACTATTCCACAATCGTAGAGCTTGCACCGTGAACGATTTGTATATATATACATATATTATGTATATATTAAAACATAAGTTTGCATATCGGGTAATAAAGCCTTAACCAGAAGTTTTCTTATATAACTTTAAAGTTTCCAATCACGAAATCCCTGTCAATTCCATACTGGCAACAATAAAACCCACCATAAATTTAACGAATTACCAACTTTATTACTGATGTCATTTATGTGAAAGTTTGTAAATAATATCTAAACTTCATGATGGAATTAAAATTTTGGAAAAAAGGCACTTGGAATTGTTGTTGTTCAAGTAAATGATATATTTTGAAAGATTAATTTACAAGAAACACGATTTATTACACTATATATTAGACTAAGTTAATTGTCGAGGAATGGGCAGCAGTGTTTCTCTTCATCAACATCATATCAGCCCTTAACTGCCCACTGCTGAACATAAGCCTGCCCCGTTGGGGGTTTTCCCAGTAGGTATCATGCTTGGCAGGCGTGTTGGCAACTGCGGTTAAGTTTTGGGTAATGTTTTAGAAGGACGCTGCTGCCCATCCCTTGCCCTTCTTTAGTTGCCTCTTACGACACCTACGGTAAAGATAGTGGCTTAATCTATGCCAAGACTAAACAACAAAGGCGTCCCTCTTAAAACATCTAGATTCACTTTCTATCAGGTGGGTCGTCAGCTTGTTTACCATTCTAAGTTGCATAAAAAAATTCAAAGCCTAACTGTGGTTGCTAATTTGCCTGCTAAGCGTGGTAACTACTGGCAAAGCGCTTTAATAGGGGGAAGCCTATCTTCAACAGTG